ATGATAGGAAGTAAATGAGATGGAGAGATAGAGGTAGAGAAGGAAATGGGAAAGGCAAAGTGAACACACTAATCAGATATCACAACCAATGTCGAAGATATCATGAGACGACACTAGTCAGAAGGGGAAAAAAAATACAGGCCATCAAGACATCATCCAGACCAGAACAACACCGCAGAGCGTATATCAAAACCAAACCCAAAGGAACAAAAAGTGGAAAATGCTCAACCCAATCCCGAAGATGAAAATCCGAAAGCAGTAAAGAAGTATAACACCAAGAACTCAAAATACTCATCGCATTTCCCAATCCTCAATTCTCAATTCACAACTCTCAATCTTCAATCCTCATCTTGATCCTAATACATGGACCAATCCATCAAAATGGGAAATCTATCTCAACTCACATTATCTTTTCGATAAAAAGTAAGTGATTTGATATGATATGATATAATATGAAAGGAAGAAGAGGATTTTATGAAGCGATGCCATGCGATGCGATGGTGTGCTATGTCCGATTGGATTGGAATGGGTGGATTGAGTTGAGTTGAACCCTAAAGTTAAAGAAGCTGTTGAAGAAGTGGTAGGATGGAGATAGAGATGGAGATGAGATATTAGTTACTTTGTATTATATATTATACATTATACATTATACTGAATCACAAATCACACATTAAATCAAACCAGACCAGATCATACATTAAATTTCCAAGTAAAACTACTCACTGGTGGACTAGGTACATCAAGTATTAGAGAATGGTATATAAAACCACTATCCGTCCATCCACATCTGTCAACATCATCCACACCCACATCATCCATCCACATCAACTCCAGCAATATCATTATCAATGTCAACTCAATTCTCAATTCTCATAATAAAGTCAATTGGACTTCTCATTTGGTCATGTCATATCAAATCATATCCGATCACATCATTATACCTACTACTTATATTAAAACCAATGCAATGATCAATTAATCAATCTATTTCATCTCACAATCAACAATCGCCAGCCAAACTTTACAAACTAACAAATCATCTAATCTCAGGCTCATGCTCATGCTCATGCTCATGCTCATGCTCATCTCATGCTCATGCTCATGCTCATCTCATGCTCATGCTCATGCTCATCTCATGCTCATCATCCTCACCAACATCACCATCACCATCTCATCACACTCAAAATGATTGCAAATGATGACATTTTCGCTAGAGAACATATCATGTAAATGATCATGTCTTTTTTAAAAAATTGGTAGCACCACCTTCTAACCCACATTCATAGCCTCCTAAAGACATGGATCAAGATCGAGAAATGTCAAGGTAATCCGATACTGAGCCAACACTCATAAAAAAAGATTATGAAATTTCTCAATAATGTAGCCCATTTCATTCCTGTCCTCTAGCATATGAAAAGCCATCCATTCGCCAACCCTCGACCCTTATCAAATCCTTCCCATGCAATGTCAAGTCCATTTTACTCGGATGATTTGTTGGCTGGTCCTCTAGCTCCCTTGGGTGTACCGGTTTGGAATCCATTCTTGAATCTACGTGGGACTTCCTTCATGTGACGCATGCGACCGGTACCGGTGGTCTTTCTTCTCTTGGCCTTCTCACCCCAGTTGTCTATTTATAATATTTGAATTAGCATATGATTCGTATTGTTGTCATTTCATTCCTTCTTGATATGTCGAAAAGTGGAAATTATATCGTTGAGTTCGTCTGGTTCGATTTGGTGAAGATGAATGGATTAAAAAAACATACATTGACGGATCTTGGCTGCTGGGTAACCGCATCCAGAACATGTGTGCTTTTGGATGTGGAGGGATCGGCGACCTAGAAATTTAAACCATAAAACATCAGCCTCTTATTCTCCTCTCAAAAATATCCCCAAATCCTTCAATCAAATCCTCAATCAATTGTCCACCTCCTGATCCCAACTTTCCATCCTCCCCTCCTTTCCCAAGAATTGAGTCAAAACTAACCGCAGCGTCTGCACAAAGTGTGCGTCTTGTTGTGGCGCTTTCCGAAACTGGAAGTTCCCTTGGCTATAATTCAAAATAATCAGTATTAAAATTCCTCCTTGGTATCGAGATGTATAATCGAGAATCGAAGGTTAACGCACTCATCTTGAATTAGGAACTATTGAATTAAACTGTCAGCGATTGTCCAGACGATATTTATGAAGATGACACATAAATTGGCGATAACTTACCTTGGGGTTGTCGTGGGGTTGTCGTTGGTTTCAATATCTCGACTTTTTTCGATGAACAGGCTTAATGGCGAAATAGTGGGAAATTTCTTTGGAAACCCTAAGCTAGGGCAGTATCATGTGATTCTTTTTACCGAAGCGAGATATTGAGGACCGTGCGGGGTTTAAAAATTTAAGATGCCTCAGAACCTGATCTTTTATTATCTCAATCTTCACTAGCGATAAGGTATATGTAGTTGGTGGTAAATACGGTACATGTAGCTTTCAGATATATTTCATCGTTTATTGTACTTTACTCAAAGTCTCAATTTTCCAACCTCAAAATCCAAACTGCATAACTTTTCAAAAAGATACATAATCAACTGTAATGAATGACACTCCGCTGGCCCTCCGGAGGCCACTGCCGTGGAGGCAGAATATTTGTATTAATTTTAACCTTATTATCTTACGAGACACCGTAATTATCGTTAACGATGGAAGATGGAAGTGGGAACTATATAAATATACGTATCTGTCCACCAACTCACAAACCCATCGAATCTCCCTTTTTCCCTTTCCCGCAGACCATAAAATAAGTTCATACATACTCCACTGCCATTCACTGTAATTTTCACTACATTTAAAGGAAATAAATATTCTACCAGTTCTTTGGAAAGGTATTTGAATGGGAGGAGATAATTGATATATATTCATATTCATATTCATACCTTTAACTTCCAATTCTCTCTAAGCATACCATCTACGATCTATCTATCCCAACCAATAAAACAAGGGGTATCTAAAACCGATCCTCTCACTGCTTTCCTCCCTCCATTGCATTCCTCCCTCCCATCTGATCTGAACTATTCATCTGTACACCCACGCGCTGTAATTGGATCCGTCTGTTTCCAATGCATGAATAATCTATATCCAAGCCATACTTTTCTCTTCCCCCAATCACTCATAAAAATATCCATCCATCTACCAAGTTTTGGCCCTTATACACAAACAAACAAACAAACACAAGCATAGGTACAAGCACCAGCTTCCCCATCATTAAGTATGCAAAAAACCGTTTCCATTCCCTTTCCTTCCCCTCACTCCCCCCCTCAACCATTAACCATTAACCAAAACGCCAATCCATCCCTTCGCCTTTGCCATTTCCAAACCAAACCCCCACCAACAAACCTATAAAGTAATCAAATCAACCTCCGAAAAATCCGGCGGATTCCTCCCATAAACCACCCTTCCCTTAGCATCCAATGCCGCCCCCACATTACTAATCCAAATATTGGCTCCAGCATAATCCCTCGTCCTCTTAACCTCATCGTCACTAACTCCAATATCATCTCTCGGGATCCAAACCACTGGTCTTCTAGCTCTGAGCGCATAATGCTGAAATGCATGTTTGACAAGACTATCCCTTTCTTCCGGGGCTAAATCTTCAATTTCATCATTGTAACCACCGTAGAGAGCATTTGCGATTTTTTGCTGCGCTTCGATATCCTTGTGACGACGTTTTCGTGTGATAGTTGGTCGGATTATTGGTTCGTCGATAGGTTGGGGACCAGCTGTGCCTCCACGAGCAAATGTTTTGTGACGAAGATTTCGACCGGATTGTAATGCCCAACCACCTGCTGCAGCAGCACCATGAACGAGGTTTGATGGTTTAAGTTTGGAAAATGCACCACCTCCATGTGTGGTAGAGGGATTTAGATTTTCCATCTCGATATATCCAGGTCCTTGAATACCAGCACCATCACTTTGTGGTAATGCTTCATGATCTGCAATGGTAAGACCTAGACGTTCGGCTTGCATTCGATCAAATGCTTCATCACGAAGAACGGCTTCATCTTCGAATGTAATTGGTAGATATCGAAGTAGTGGACCAAAAGACCAATTGAGAAGGAATTGATAAAGAGCAGTTAATAGTAGAGCAACAATCATAATGATTGCTTGAGCAGTGAGAGCTTCACCTTGCTCATCCCTTGTCAAGAAGAACAAACCAATGAGACACAATTCCATGACATATAAACCAGTAAATGTCTGATTTATAGCACGTGGATAAAGAAGTCCTCCGGTATCAATCCTGAATCGAGACACGTAAAGCATATTATAACGATTCGCAATCCAAAGAAGTGTGAATGTAATAATGACGAAAATGATGATGATCGGAGAAACCACGCAATAAATCAAACCAATACAGGCGAAATTGGTATAAACTGGAAAGAATGATCCCCATGATACAGATGGAAGTGTTGTATTTCTTGTCCACTTCTGACGAGCCGTATTATCGAAAATTTTCGGTAAAACAAACCAAAAGATGAGTGTGGTTAACTGTAACAGCGTACCCGAGCTCACAGAAAATGCTTGAAGAATCATGTAAGAGAAAAAATAATTCGCCGCCTTTGGTAATTGTTGCGCAAGTGTCTCGGGTATAGAAGTAATATCACTAGACCATGAGCCCAATGCAGCGACCGCACCACCGGATATAGACACGACCAAGAAAACTTGGACAAAGAGGAATGCAAAATAATACGTTTGAACAGAACCTTGCTTCTCGTTGCCGGTTTGTGAACCTTGAACAAATGCCAGATATCCAAAGATCGTTGGTACCAATGATAGCAAGATACTAAGCACAAGAGCTGGTAAAACACCTGCTACAGCTTGAAGAACCTTCTCGGGTATAACTTTGAGCCAATGAAGCCAAGGCGTAGTATTAGCGAGCGAGGCAATCTGGGATAGAGTTGATGTCCATGCAACAGGAATAGACCATAACAGGATCATGCCAAGAACGACAGCAGTAATAACGGCGGTCCTGAGCCAAGATTCCCACCATTTGATAGACATGTTATCCCAAAGGACATCATTAGGTGAGATCTCCACAGTACGTGGTGCCATTTGTTTGGGGACATGATAGGTAACACACTGACAAGCCATGTGGGCAGCTACTTGATGATTGAATTGAATAAAAGCCGAGTTCATGAGTGGAAATCTCTCTGGAGACTTTTGATCCAATTCAATCTCAAGGTTGAGTTGAGCAAGTTGCTCCCGACACCAATAGATGGTATCAACCTTTGGACTAATTCCGGGAATACCGGGGAACCAACCAGGAGTCCAACTAAACCTAGGTAATCTATGCGTCGGCCTATCCTTTTCCCTTAGAAACTGTTGCCATGCTGCAGGTGCCGCATCTTCCTTGTAATCTTCATTGTAAGCTTTTGGATACTCGACTCCTGGTCCATCATCCGAGTTTAGGAAAGGAATAATGGATTTAATCACTTCCCAAGCACTCTTCTTCGGGGGAGCACCAGTCGCAACTCTCGATCTCGGTCCGTCACCTTGAGTTAGAGGAAATTCGTCGTCATCTTCATAGCCTGTTGGAACTGGGGAAGGAAATCCGCCAGCGGGACCTCTCCAGAATTTCCACCAATTGTTGGTTTTCAGGGCATCATTGGCTCCGTCACCTCCGTATTCGAAGCGGTTTCTTCGTACTGTGTTGCCAACCGACTTTCCATCCCCATCATAGCTTCGAGGATCCCGTTCTGACGTTGACGGACGATCTTCTCCTGCCACGCCTTCTTTTTCAGGATCCCGGTCATGCCCATCGTCAACGCCGTATCCATAAGGTTTTGGCGGCTGTCGTTGTTTGTATCTTCCATATTGGTCATATTCATCATCCTCCGCTATGGACTGTGTGTCAAGATTCATGAAGCCATTACCATTAGTTTCCTCAATCGTCTCATCCAATTCTCTACCCAGCCCTATGACACCCCCTAACGCAGTTTCACCGACCTTTCCAACGACACTTACACCTCTATTCAAGCCTTGTCCGACTGCCTCGAAGCCTTGACCAACGGCGGCGAATGGATTACCAATTTTAAATTTGTTCTTCGAACCGTGTCGTTTATGTTGGTGGTCTTCTTCCTGCCTTTCCAATTCTGCCTCCTCATCTACCACATCATCTACTGTGTGAGGAGCCTCCTCGCCAGTAGCTACCCCACCACTTTGGGCAAGCCGTTCCGCCAGCTCATTTTCCTCTTTGATTTTTTGAGCTTTCTCTTCCTTTGTGAGTTTGCGATTCGACTTTTTTGCGTTCATCTTCTCTTGCTTTTCTACCATTTTCCTCTGGGCTTTCTTTGCTGCCCTAACCAATTCCGTCTCGGCGCCCTCCAACTGCAAATGGATCTGGTCCCGAAGATGGATCTTTGCCAACAATTCATCATAATTTCGATTAATCCAAATATTCCTAATTCCTCCAGGGAAGACGTCGTAAAGTCCAGCGAGTGCTTCTTTCGTGAGCCATTTATCCGGAATGGCACTAACGAGAACTGTCGTTGCTGAAGCTCTGAGTCGATGTTCTGCGGATGTTAAATAATCTTGTCGTACTTTGATATACACTCGCAACTCCGCAAAAAATACACCACAAACCCAAATGATGGCCAACAATGCAAGTACCAGATGTGCCCAATATCTACTGGTTTTGCTTGGTTGTATATTTGTCCAGGCTAATTGATCCAAGCCAGTCACATTTGGATTCGAGGAAACTTCAGTAGTATTTTTATCGTTTGCATACTGTAAGGCCCAATCACCACCTCTTCCTCCGATGTAGTTCATGGGGACAAGAATTGGTATTATGACAACCGCCATAGGGATGAAGATAACCAAAAGAGTTTGGAGGTATCGAAGGAAAAAGTAGGCGTCCAATCCACACTTGTTGATAACTTCCCGATCTCGAAATTGAAATATCGTGAATAGCCATCCCCATGGACTTCTAGGAGGTGGTTCGGTTCGTTCTTTTTCGGGCACTAAATAGGTCTTTGGTTTGCTAGAATTCAGTCAGTGAAGCCATTCAGCAATATACGTCCACCGATAGCAAAATTGCCCCATGGTAAATATCCCTCAACTTACAATATCCGCGCAAGCTTGTTCTTCAAGAGCATAAAAGCTATCATCTGTACACCAAAAATGATAGCAGAAGATGCCATTGCCGTAAGAAGAGCCACCAAACTGATACCCTCCGCCGACCCAGCCACAGTAGATGTTGTTGCGACTGCAGTGGCAGAAGTCGCCGTCGGACTGTTACCCAAGGTTGAAGACATGTTGAGTAACGTTCAACACCCTATCGATGCATAAGAGGAATTATGTATTGTTCCACCTAAGAAGATATGGTGGATGTATTTGCTGGTGTTCGTGATATCATTAATAGGCCGTATCGATTTCAATATTGGTATCGATATGGATGTGGATGTCGAAAAGAAGGAATTAGAAGGAGAGAAGAAGAAGACGAAGGAGAGTAAGAAGAAAAGATACTGGATAAAGAATATGGACACAGGTGAATCATTTGGAAATCAATAAGTCAATACTTGAGTACTACCCTACCTGGGGTGCAGTAATGCCAATGCCATTCAAAACACCCTATGAATTTATTACCTAGTAGATATTTAGCAGTAAAACTTGGCCTTGTTTGCCCTTTGCCTTATGAACTATGATAAGATTAAGCAGGATTAAGAAGTATTAACAAGTATTCGTAATCAAAAAAGAATGAATTGATTTATGGAGCAGGATTTCCAGAATCCAACGATACCATTTGCTAATAAATAAAATAAAGTTTATATAACCCAGACAAAATACGACATGGATATAAATCAACGGGGCCCTATTGGAGTTATCTTGGTTCATATTAGGAAAGCTTAGTATGATGTCACGAATCATACTGGCTAGAAAACTGGAAACCCCATGTCCAAAGGATATGCAGCCGAGACAAGATTTCCCAAGATGTGTAGAAATATGTTTCAAGTTTCTTGTTTTCTTTCCTGTTGATTCGATATCAAGCCTTTTCATCTTCTTTTCACTCCGTATACTATTTCATATAAAAGAATTCAGGGGATGCGCTTATCGCATATCAAAGAATTAACGCCTACCATTCATTCGGTCAAGTGTTATAAAGATGATACAGAAGGCGTTTAACATTATGATAAGAACTCTATCTTTATTTCATTTTTATACAATCTGTTCATAGCATTCTTTTCATTCAGTGTTTAAGCGCGAGGTATCTCCGTACTTATTATTAACATATTAAAGTATAAAAGTACCTACCTAGATACTCTTCAATATATTTTATCGATAAGTGAAGAATAGAAATGACAGGATGATATAAAAACAAGAATTAAGCCACTGTCGCCATTAGGCGTCGGAGATATTTAATCCTAGACATGGCTGTCCTCCGTAAGCCACTCACCATTCCGCTCAGTTCAGGCAGAAAAACTTGAATTTTCTGGCTTTTGACCCCTGAAACACGTGAACTTCAACATGTGGCAGCATGATGTATGGAGACTTACAACCATTCATTCCACGTGGATCTGCTACTATTTCCTACATAAGAAAAGATAAACATTTATTTACAAACTATCGAAACTATCGAATTGGAATTATTACTAGTGTCACCATTAATCTTCAAGAATCTCCCATCCAAAACCCCTCTCTGTGGATTCTCCTGAAGAGAATTCCGTCCCCTTTCTATGAGCCCGTCCCTTCCCCCACCTCTTTTCCCCTCCCCCTTCCCCTTAACAACCTCTTTCGATATCCGCAGCTCCCGTACCCAAACCTAAATTTCCTCTCTTTCTCCATTTGATAACTACTTCGTACTAGGAGCCACCTTCCTAACAGCCACACTAACACTCGATCCATCGTCAATCTCTTGCGCATTCCATTTCAATTGCCAGACACCATCCGACACCGGGGTCGCATAGAAGTTGGAAACGATCTTCGACGTGCTTGGGTTCTTCCACATAGCCCAGTTACCGAATGACATGAAACCTTTAGTCGTGCCATTCGATGAAGCGGATCCGGTAAATCCAACGTTTGTTAGAGCTGTGGCAGACGGGTCGATGAATAGTACTGGAGATGTGGTATTGGCGAGAGTAACATTGCCAGCGGTTGGTGTGATGGCCCATTCACTGGATGAGCTCGGTGCGACTTTGACGGTATTAGTATAATCGTTGTTTAAAGTGGTACCTGTGGGACTTGAAGCTCTTACATGTGATATTTGTGTTAACATTGGATCCGGATGGAAATTTGCTACCCACAAATGCATTTCCTACATGTCCAATTAGTTTTGGGGAAATGCATACGTCGTAGTACGATTATCAACTTACCATCAGAGTAGTATACTGGTAGTCCACCAATACCTTTACCGTAAGCATACAAGTGGAATGAGCTGGTGGTTCTCTTGTCAATGACTGCAGCAGATGCTGTCAAACATCCCAAGAGGAAGGAGATAGAAGAGGTAAACTTCATGTTTTGTTGATCTTATAAAGCTGTATGTGATGGCTAAATGAATGCAGATGTTTACACGAAAAGAGGGTGATGATGGGATATGAAGAGTGTTACGGAGATAATGAATATATTGAGAAACAGCCACCGACCTGAAATACGAAGAGCTCACGGTTAATATTATATCGATAAGAAAGTAGATGTCAGAGCACAAAAGCTCGGTGCCGACTTCCAAAGCCCCTCCATCACAATATTGCATTCTCAGGGAGAGCACCTCAAGCTACCAAACACCTTCTTGGTCTCCTGACTAGTCGGAGAAAGAGATCTTGGGTCAATATAAGCTTGTGCTGTAAATGGTAAAAGGTACACGAATTAACCACGCGAAATGACAAGAACTGCATGGCTATGGTCAGTGCAATAGCGAGCCAAGGGTGTTGTCGACCTTGTCGATCAATAGGAACAATAAGTTAAAAGCCACGCGGTGGTTAGGATGGATATCAAAACATGCCATTATATTGTACACGGCTCTATGCGAACTGAGTGTGGAGGTAAGCATGCGGATTGGCTTTATCCCGAGAAGGATCTTCCTCGTCAAATTCGAAATTTCTGACTTTACGAGCATGAGTAGTTAAGTAAACAGAAATTTCCAATAGTCCGAGCCATCGGAGGGAAAGAAAAATCGGAAAAAATTGATATGGCTGAAGGTAAAGCGCATGGTAACTGGAAGGATATCCGGTGGCAATGTGTGCACGGTTCCCGAGACACTTCCGAAGTTGATGTTTCGAAATACGAAATCGACACAATCAATATGTGAACGATATGTGCACGTATCGATATGACATTGCGATGAGAATCAATCGTCGGAACTTTTTGGAGAGCTACAGAAGCTATCAAATTGTTCGGACATTTGAGATCTAGATATCGCTTAATTCGGATCGAAAAAAACCGATATAAATTTGGAAAGTATATGTAAATTCTATATCTATACAGTGAGTTGCGATTAGCTGAAGTCAGTCTAATCGGAATGTTTTAATATACTCTCTTCTTTAAATACACATTCGAGGTGGATGATGAATAAATCGGAGATGGAAATTACAGATATCGGAAAGATGCGCCAAGTAAGATCTTACCTCTGCAGAGCTACCCGATGTTAAGTTATCAAAATTAAAGTTCATTTAAGGACGCACGACGATCTCCCGCAGACCATCCCATCACCGTCACTTGGACCCATGTTTCAAAACATCTCCATAATCACTGCTTGTTCATCTCTCAGTCCGTTCTTCCTCGGATCTTTCTCAAGCTCAGTCGAGCTAGTTTCTTTCATACATGAGTACCTTAGATATGATCGTCTGTAGATCTTCCACTACTGCATGTCAAGTTTTATGTCTACACATTTTAGTCCGGCCATTTTATTTTTTAACGTAATGTTTTGGCTCGGAATTGTCATTCATTCTCGGTCGGTGTACACCAAAATCTCCGATGTACAACATATTGATTTAATATATGCACCTCGATGGTTAAAGGGAGACAATAAGGTACCGTACTACCATAGCGGTACAATACGAAACTACCATGCACGGTGAACCATATAGGGTACCATCGGGATTTGAGTCTTTTTGCCTACCAGAAACCGAAAGAGGAGTTGAAAAAAACTTTTTCCAGTTTTCTTCATTGGGTTGAGAGCTAGTACTAGGTTACTAGTCCAGGTTAATTGAAAGACTTACAAACACCTACCCATGCATACGAAGAAACTTGAGGACAAGTGGAGGAATCTCAGCTTCAGATAGTAAAGTTGTAGTATCTGAATCAGTGTTCCAACAACTAAATGTCTGAATACTTTAAACGAACGAAGAACCATCATCGAGGCTTGTACACTTTTAACCTCAGTGACCCCGGATTTATTCAGCTACCTCTACTAAGAAATTATCCAAGGATAGATGCACGGACAACGTGCACTCCCGATACCTTTGACCTAGGACATACTGAGATGCAAGCATCCCTTTCAAGGTAATGTTGTGAGCTTGTCGCCGATGCTATCTCATCTTCGTATTATCCAAGGACGTTTCTGCTTGGCTGCCACTGTGGCTGAGATCATCCATTATCGACTAGTGAACTTGTCAAATGTTCATCCCAATACTTTTTCAGACCAACTTTATGATGCTTGGAGCACTCGGATCATCTTCTCATCTCTAGCGTCGATTTTAGTGCGAACCTGAAGCTTACCATGGTGGAGATACAAATGGCGGATAAGACTAATATTTTATATCCCAAGTCTCGATGAGGCTTTGTATTGACACTATACAGTAGGAGTCAAGTTGGGTGCTCTTGGAATCGGACTTTGACCTTATGCATCTAAGTGGATTTGAGATATTTCATCGTGCTCGCTTCTAGCTGTTGATAGTCATTATCGTAAAACTCTTCTTAAGGAAGATCATTCCTTCCCACTGGTACGACCTTATTACTTATCATCCAGCACAACTCTTTTCCTTTCTCTCTTCTACATTCATTTTTGTTTCACTTTGGTATCCTCATTCGAGGACCATAAGACCAGTTTATCCTGAATACTTTCCAACGGCCAAGTTTCATATACCAGGAAAGTCTCATAGAGGGTTCATCATGCGTTTTTATATCCTTTTGGCCTTGTGCCTTTCATTTTGCCAAATTCAGGCGACCCCTACTTTTGGATTTTTCAATCCTATTGCCGCTCTTCAAGCAGATATCCTTAAAATAATGAATGAGGTCGAATGCTTGCTTAGCACAAAATCTTCTTTTATCCCCTCGATTCTTACCCATGGCAATCCCAAAGCCGTTACATCAAACAAGTGTTCACCAACCAAAGCAACGGCCACTAGTGCTGCAGTCAAAACTTCCGTCTCTTCTCTCCAATCGGTAGCTCTATCCAAATGGAGTTCGCTTCAAAGTTTATTGTCGACAACCACTACACTTCCTCCCATACTTACCACGAGTGTCACTGCCTCAACGGCTAAAACCGCTTCGAGCACTTCAGGTGTAGTTTCAACTTCGACAACTGCAAAGGCTACATCCTCAGCTGCAACACCAAGTTCCACAACAGCCCAAGGACCTTCGATCACTAGCCAAGTTACTTCTTCAGCAGTATCTTCTGCAACAGTGTCATCCTCAACCAGCAAGACTGTAAGCTCGAGTATCACGGTAGGAACTCCATGTGCAGGTAATACCGCCGCCGATAGATCAAAGTGGTGCGACTATTCTACCAGCACCGACTACTACAATGAGGTGCCAAATACCGGGGTAACTCGCGAGGTAAGAAACTTTTCCAAATAACTGATATCTCTCTCTAATCTCATATTTTAGTATTGGCTCAATATTCAAGATGGTGTCGCTTCACCTGATGGAATATCAAGATATGTTCAGACGGTTAATGGAAGCATCCCAGGTCCAACTATTATTGCTGATTGGGGTGATAATGTCGTGGTACATGTAACCAACAATCTATCTGTCAATGGTTCAACTATTCATTTCCATGGTATGCGTCAAAATTATACCAATCAAAATGACGGAGTGCCTTCAATTACACAATGTCCTATCGCTTTTGGAGCTACTTATACCTATAAATGGAGAGCTACTCAATATGGTTCATCATGGTATCATTCTCACGTGGGACTACAAGCGTGGGAAGGTGTAGCTGGTGGTATCATTATCAATGGACCTTCCACAGCCAACTATGACGTTGACAAGGGAACGGTTATGCTTACTGATTGGGGTCACACTACCGTTGATGAGCAATATCAATATGCTCAGACTGCTGGTCCACCGGTCATGGATACAGGTCTTATAAATGGTACGAATGTTTTTGGAGAAGACGGTGCTAGTAACCAGACCGGTTCGCGTTTCTCAACTAGTGTTACAGCAGGCACTTCATATCGATTCCGTCTTGTGAATAGTGCTATCGATACTCACTTTAAGTTCTCGGTTGATAATCACATTTTAACGGTTATGGCAAATGATCTTGTTCCTATCGTACCTTACCAAACTCAGGTTCTCAACATTGCTATCGGTTAGTATTATCATACTCTTCATCGCCAAAAAATATATACTAACAGTTTTCTTCCAGGCCAACGCTACGATGTCATCGTAACCGCAAACCAAGCTTCCGTCGCCTCTGATTTCTGGATTCGAGCTATTCCCCAAGCATCCTGTTCGGAGAACAACAACCCAAGTAACATCAAAGGAATTCTTCACTACGGCAGTTCAACCGGTCTCCCCAAAACCACCGGCTACAACTTCACCGATGAATGCGTCGACGAACCCCCCACATCACTAATCCCCTTCGTCCCAAAAACCGTATCCAGCTCCTCCAAATCCGCCGACGAAGCCGTAACCATCGCGCAAAACTCCAACAAACTCTTCAAATGGTACCTCAACAACTCAACCTTCCTAACCGAATGGGAAGACCCAACTCTCCTCATGGTCCAAAAAGAAATCACCACCTTCAGCAGCACCAACAATCTCATCCAACTCCCCAACGCACACGAATGGATCTACCTAATAATCCACTCGCGCATACCCGTCCCCCATCCCATCCACCTCCACGGCCACGATATCTACATCCTCTCTCAACAATCTTCGCCGTATGATGCTAGTACCGCAGTAGCGACATATAATCTTAATAATCCGCCTCGAAGAGACGTGGCTAATTTACCCGCTGGGGGGTATTTGGTCTTGGCTTTTGAGACGGATAATCCCGGGGCGTGGTTGGCGCATTGTCATATTGGGTGGCATGCTAGTCAGGGGTTTGCGATGCAGTTTTTGGAGAGGGCGAGTGAGATTCCGGGGATTTTGGATCCTGCGTCGTTGCAGGGGACTTGTGATCAGTGGAATGGTAATCCGGTTCATCAGGAGGATTCGGGGATTTAGTTGGGGTGGTAGATTTGGGGGGAGGGGGCTTTTGTATATATTTCTTCATTTTCTTTCTTTTCCTGGATGTAGGTGTGGTGGATGGATTGGGGATATTTTTATATATGTATATCTTTATATATACATATATATCCCAAAATTAGAATTTGGAGGATAATATTAATACTCTTTCTTATTTTATTACGAGAAGAGCAGGAAGAGGAAGAGGAGGAAAAGTTATCAATTGATACTAGATAGATAAATAGGCGGTAGTATATAAACAATATACACCAAGAAGCTAGAGTAAGTATCTACTATCTAATCTAATAAAATTCAAATTCAAATCACACCGAAAACAACAATGAAAACAATAGTTAGTTATTAATTAAGTGAGAAATATCAATCAATAAATAAGTACATTATATAATATATAATGTATCTGAGATAGGTACCTATGCGGAGAAATAAAATGAAATGAAATTGATGATGAAATAATAACTTGAGGGACTGAGAATAGTGTATTTGATACTTGTATAAGGAGTCAAGGACGAATCCAAGGAAGGGGTAAATTTATATGTACCTACTACGTAATATTTATCTCATACTTCGTGAGCGATGTAAGATTTATGGCTTGCGTTTTATACTGAAGCTGTGTCCTGTCCCATCGCATTTGTATCTTATAATATCCATCTCATCCTAAAATTCTAGAATGGGAGATAGACTAGCAAGCATATATCCTGCAATTCAATTAACCAACGAAGTAATCTTACAAACGACTATTTTAACCTCCCAAAATCCAAAGCCTGATTTGAATTTCCCTCGCTCGTTGCACCTTTACCCCATCCAGTTTCGAATGCCACTTCCCCATCCCCTCTAACCACCTTCCCTCTATCCCATTCCCTCCCCTCCCCTTTCCCCCTCCATTTAACATCCTCTTCTTTTTTCTCACCTCCTTTCTCCCACTTCTTAACTTCCTCTTCCGAGAATCCTGCATCTCTTAATCTATTTGCACCCTGCATTTTCCATTTCTGTCGATCGCGTAATGCTTCGAGTGCTTGATCCCAATCTTCTCCTTCTCCTTGAAGAGTATCTTCAAGTTGTACGTCACTTTTTGGATCATAGTCTGCGTGAAATCGAGAATCCATTATTGATGTTGAGCCAAGGGAAGTAGCGCCACGACCACGGATTCGAAGGGGTTGTTTTTCATGGGCTGGACGGGGCCCGATTATTGAGTCTAGGGGGTCAGAATCGGATGATTGTTCTGCCTCTCGGTCCGGATGTTGTTTTTCGCGTGAGGAAGAATATTTATGTGGTTGATGTGATGATCTTTCTTTGCCTTCTGAGGTTGGCGAGAGGGAGCGTTTTCGGCTGCGATGGGGTGAGCGATCTCTTTCCCTATAACTCGATTCTTTACTTCGATGTTCTCTAGGTGAAAGTGATCTTTCCCTGTGTCTCCTCCTATCATCCTTTGTGCGCTCTCTATCCTCGGATGTACTTCTTCGCCTATGTTCTCTCCGCCGTGATTTATTGTCTTCTTCCTCTGAGTCATCATGATATTTTCTCCGCCTATCCTTAGATCTTCGTTTATCACCATCAAGTTCTTCATCCCCTCTTCCACCTTCTATGCGTCTTGATTCTCTCCTCCGATGACCTATTAATTCGGCAGAAATATCTATATCCTTCCTGCGACTTCGATGATCACTATCCTCCCCATCTCTCAATTTTCGACTCTTCGTATTTTCCGCCCCCGTCCTCTCTTTTGAACGTAATAAATCCCTCTTCCCCTCACTTTCCCTCCCAGACTCCTCCCGTTTCCTCTTTACTGGTCCTCCAAGAATCGCCTTAATATCTCCCAATTGTCTCCTTCTAATATCTCCCGGCGCAACTTTACTTTCCACCTTCCTTTCTCTCCCACCATTCGATAAACCTTCTAATCTAGCTCTTGCTTCTGCTACCTCTTTAGCCAATAATGCGCTATTATGATTATCCGTATCTCTAATAATATTGCGTAGAAAACGGGTATTGGGTTTTGGTTTATTGGGTGGAGGTTTAGATTCTTTGGCATATGCTTCCAGACCCATGGAAGAATATTTTATAGAACTAGCTTTGGCATCTTGAGCTAGAAGGTTGGCGACATAGTCATCGGTTAGGTAGGTGTCGTTTGCCATGTTTGGATGCAATGCGATTTGTTTGACGTTGGAGGGTAGATGCGATTGTGGATGAAGTGGATGGAGTTGAGTGTCAGGGGATGTTCGTATTCATATATTGTTTGATAAAAGGGCTGTAGATTGCGGTGAAAGAAATGAAATAGCAAAATATAGATATTGCTAGAATAAAGTGAATGGAATAGATGAATCAAACGTGAATGTATAGAAGTATGGAGATTTTGGGAGCACCAGCCTTGCGGTTGCTATCGTATTTGCTGAGATTGGATGCATTGACCTCTTGATCGGATAAATATCGTTGAATTGTTAGTGATTGACGCTTATAAAGTCTAAATATAACCATTACAAGGTGTGAATTTATACTAAATGCTCACCGCCGGCAGAATAAATCAAAGTAAACAATGAATTGCAATGCGACAGACACCCTCTGATTTTCAAACATCAAGTACCAAAACTTGCAGCTGCAAATACATAATCAACAAAGGTATCTCTTCTATACTACTTGACGCGACATCGATATTTCCCAGATATACAAAACTTTATAAACCCATAATATTTGCAAACAACTAATCACAGCCTATAACATGGCGCTGTCACCAGAAAGTACCCTCACCACTCTCCAAAATCTTCAAAAATCCCACGAATTGAGTATTATAAAATTGAGCGAGCCAATCTCTGCCCCTTTAAAACCAGGCGATCGAACATCCAATGGTTCAGCAGCTGATCCTCTCGAAAATCCATCTCCTGCTAGTTTAGAGGCTGATTTGGCGCATTATAAGGTAATTCCATTATAATACTCACTTGTGCATTTACCATACATTCACACATCCCTACATATTCTTTCCCTCTCAAAACAAAGCAAAAACAGATAGATACTAACCCCCACCATCCAGGAACTCTTCTCCAAACTCCGCTTCTCCTACCTCGAACAAGTAACCAAAGAAAAATTCATCCGAGCCATCGTCGGCGATCCACCCCTCGTAGTGGAACATCAAGAAAACCTCGATTTAGAAGCCTCATTACTCCTCTCCAAATCCTCACTCAAAGCCCAAAAAGTCGAAGTCGCAGAACTCGTTGAAGAGCTTGAGAAACGAGGAAGAGAATTATGTAGAAAATATGAACATATCCAATTGCAAACTAAACAACTTTCCGAACTGCCGTTGAAAATATCGGGATTAGAGGAGAATATTCAAAAGTTGAAAAATGAGCAGAATGGGATAGATGGAGAGGGGATAAGTCATCCGAATCTTAAATTGGGGTTAGATAGGACGAAGGAGTTGGTGGAAGAAAAGGAAAAGGAAAGGAGAGATCTAGATAGACAGTTGGAACAGTTACAGGTACAGGTTCCGAGGAAAGCTAAGGAGGTTGAGAGGTTAAATGCGGAATTAGTACCGTTAGAAGCGAAGAAAACGATTAGTGTTGCGGCGGCAAGAGAGGCAAAGAGGAGGAAGGAAGAGGGAGCAGGTGGGACGGGCGATGATTTGGAGGAAAGAGGACGCTGGTGGAGGGGTGTAGAAGGAGGATTGAGGGGAATGTTAGGGGTGGAGGGTGATGCTTAGGTTATTATTATTCTTGCTTGGGATTTTACGCTCGGAATGGAATTTAGCATGAAACGGAGTTCACAAATGGAAAGTTTTAGTATATCGGAACAGTCAAAGGAGGAGTCTACAATTCTACATACGCGTCAATACCATGGGTACACCAAAATCTCCGCTTTCTGGCATAGATTCTGACTTGCAGGAGGCGTTCAGCCATTATTATCCAGCAGATGGTAGGTACCTAGCCTCGCGGTACTGTCTTGTCAGATATTTGTGGTGGTAATCTTATATAATAGATAGGTAGATAGATATATGGAAATATATCACTTTTTATCACTTTATATTATTATTTGATATTATATTATATTATATTGCATTATATTGTATTGTATTGTATTCCTTCTTTCCTCGTCACTCTTCACACATTTATCATCTATCTACCTTTCGATCTGTTCGTTTCAAATCTTATATCCCCTCATCACCATCCATCCCATCCATCCATCTATAATAATCTCTCTCTTTTTCCCTCTCTCTTTATCATTCCTTCCTCCTCCCTTTTCCCTTCCCGTCCCTCCCATCTTCTTCCTACTAGGACATATAAATTTATTATCATCTATTCTCATTCTTCCATCCATTTATTGCACCCATTCATCCAGTGCATCCCAATCCACTCGTCTCATTCCAATCCATATCATATCATATCATACCATACCATACCATTACTAACCCTAACGCAGCCATACAATACTAGGCATACAGTATGTTGAACCGAGAATTTCTTTCCTCCCCTTCCCTGTCCATTCACTCATCCCATCTCATCTACCTATTCCTACCATCCCCTAACCTTCATATCCATCCATACCCATCCATCCCTCATACCCTAACATCCACAAATTCCCACCCGCCCAATTATTATCCATTCATCCACTCACTCATCCACCCACCCATCCCTCATATTATTACTAACAAAATAACAAAATACCAAAAATAAAGAAGCAAGAAAGAAGAGAAAATGCAATTATAACCATGCATCTCCGTGTTCTCCCATCCTCTTCCTCATTTGAACTAAACCACTCCTCATCTTATTTTATCCCAAAACCCAAGCTGTCTCAAAAAAGAGAAAAGAAAGGTACAACTCGCGCTTATCCCATACCCATCCATGCTTTTAAAGGAACGCATTCTCAAAAAAAAAAAAAAAAAAAAGAAAACATGCGTTTTGGACAGGAAAGCGGGATGGAAAAGAATTGTATTGATATTACATGTAATTTCGAACTAATGGATCTGTACTATGAAGGAAACAATGCGTTTCCGTTTCCTGTAACAAGCTACCAAGCAAATAAGTCAAGCTTAAGCATAGTATAAAGCTTCTACGAGATAAATAATGCCAAAGACTAAAAAGGCGATTGCCCCTCCCAGTGTTACTGTGAAATGGGTTAATTATACGACTTTCAGAATGACAGAATGAAGAAGAACTTACCAACTCTTAAGCTGACTTTTCCAGCAATAGCTCTTCCTCCAATAACAGCCACTCCGGTACAAACAGCATGACCACTAACCGCGCCCCCAGTTACCCACCAATAATCTTGACCAGCAGCCATAGCAATCGTAGCAATTTGACTACGATCTCCCCATTCACCTAGGAAAGTCATAACGAATGTTTGAACCCAAGCTGGACTTAATAGTAAAGAGAGAAGATTATTCAAACCACCTGCAGCACTTTGAATCGCTGATCTCTTAGGAGAAGGAGATCGATCTGATGAAGTTGAAGGACTTCTTGGTGGAGATGGTAGACGTGATCCTGATCTAGATTTTCTTGTGCTGGCTCTTGGACCTCCACCAAGACCCATTTCGAGAGCATATGGAGAAACTGATGATCGACGTCTTCCTTGTTGCTTTGCCAAATGCTCTTTTTCCTCGAGTTCCATTTCGACTTCTTTCATTTCTTCCGTAACACCCTCATCTGGACTCATAGCTAAACCTTCTTTTAATAAACGTCCTCCGAAAATCAAGAATAGTCCTGCGGCTAGGAAATTCGTGAATCGTTTTGGAATTAAAGTAGGAACTGCATGACCTAATACCGCGGATAGAATTGTCATAGCTATCAATGCGGAAAATGCGGCGGAAAATACTAGAAGTCTGTCATGCTTCATAGCCATTAATGCTGCAATCAAAAATGTCTTGTCTCCAATTTCAGAGAACAAAATCATTGTGAGGGAAAGAAGAAACGAATGTAAAGGTTGAATGAGACCCTCATTACCCTCTCCTTCCAAGTCAAGCTTTGGAATGGCCTTTGAATCGGATTTGGTAACATCTAGGTGATCCTTGTTGGCAGAATTAGGAATTGGATGAGGATTATTGTTTGTCTTATCTGGAAGATCTGTAGGTTTATCCAATCCAGCGAGGTTGTCAGTGGCACCAGTCTCCTTGTCATCAGTGATTTTTTTGGTCGAATCCTTCTTCTGCGGATCTTTGCTGTCACTCTGTAACTTTTGTTCGGTATCGTGAGGTATTGGAGGTGCCTCTTTAGGTGATGCTGGCTTCTTTTCCGCCTTCTCTCCCGTTTGGCTTTCCTGACCCTTTCGTGTCTTCTCTTTCTCACTCACACCTCCCTCAGTACCTGTTGTGCCTTGCTTAGGTAATGCTCGACTTGGATCGTTCATAACGCCATCGATACTCTGAGGGATTTCGTTACCATCGTCGTCAACCATTTTTTCCTTCTTCGCTGTGGAAGTTTTGGTTGTGGGTTGCACAACCAATTCTCCATCTTCAAGCTTGGACTTGGAGCTCTTAGAATCTTTAGAGTCTTTAGATCCCTTGGTATCCGCTTTTTCATCTGTGGCAGCATCTTTCTTAGGGTCTTTTTTGGTGGTGTCTACGAATGGGCCAGCGTGTGGTTTTCCATCTTTTCCATCGACTGGCGCATCTTTCGTACCAACATCATATTTTGCTTTATTATCGGCAAGACCTGTAACAGCTGATGATGAATCGTATCCAGAATCGACCGTTTTGTCTATCTTTCCAGTATGCGCATCAGCATCTTTCGCGAGGGCAGATTGTATGTTGTCTTGTGCCGCAGGAGATAGAGCCAAAGCCAATGATGGCAATAAAAGTAAAAGCAATGGAGATTGCTTCCTCCGGAACCTCATCTTGAAATATATCTTTCAATTGAACTTGGCAGATGTGATAGAACTGTATTTGAGAATAAGAAGTATGATCAAGGGGAGTACGGATTGTTGGTTGTGAGGCGTTCAATGGGTAATTTGTATGAAGATGAGTTCCAATGACGTGTCTAGTAGTTTTTGAATGTAAGAAGCTATCCAGTATTTTTTAAAAAAGTGAATAAAACATACCTCGAATGAATCCGCAGACAGCTGTGTTGTGAAGGATAAAAATTGTATTAAAAGAAAAGGGCTCAATAATGAATATAACAGATTATTTGTTAGGAGCAACACTGAAAGAGGGAGGAAAGCAGATCCACTTTTTAGCTTGTGGCTTGTCTCTCATGGTCAGCTTCATCCTTGATTGGCTGTACAATTTCAGCAGTAGCTTATTTATTAATAGCGATCCACTTTCTTAGCATTTTAGTGAGTTTCTGGAAGAACAAGGGGTACGTTTTTGGAGGGACAGGGGATTCTCACGCTTCAGACAGGAGAGCATTTACCAACCCCTGAATGTGAAGACTTATCGATAGTCGATAGATAAGTTGATACACCGTGGTAGTTGAATTACGTTACGGATTGTATAATTATTATTGCAAGATTTTATAAATACTGGAAAGGAAGACGCTGTAGTACTATCTAGATAGGTAGATAGGTCACCTCAAGGTTACAAGCAAAGGATATTCGTATTTTCATCCAGATAATCACCTCGGTCAAGTAGCTAGGGGTTGAGAAGTCCATACCTAGTACCTACCTAGTTATACATACCTAGTACTTATACTATAACTACTAGGTACTAGGTAGGCACTTGCGCATCTAGACCGGTTCTTCAAAATCATGGCGTGTAAAATGCGATTTGACCAAAATGACAACGACGAGGTTCCTACATCCTATGTTACTAGAAATCTCACCGTGTGCTCAGATGCAATTCATTTCATGGCCAGCAAATTGATTGGCACCAACAAAATCTGGTTGAAATGGTACGCTACTTTTCAAACTACGGACACTCATCAATTATGGGAAAAGAAAACTGTAGATACCTCTCTACCTATCTACCTAGTGGTTCAACGTACCTTTTCAGGTGGTGAAGTTCTCTTATTAATACCCATGATGCATACTACGTATGTTTGTTCTCGTTGTCTACCTTTTCTCCTCGGATCTGATGAAGAAGATCTCGTCCAAAACGATTGATTATGACTCCTTACCACCAGATGGAATATTCACGTTTTTGAAGTTGTTTTGTGAAATATCGACATTTTCTACCTCTTCGGACTGGCTGAGAATAAAGTACAGAGAATACACGTGATTGCGTGATTAATACCCTCAAGTCGTGCGCCCGACCTCCATTCACACTTTCACCCGCAGTCTCCACCTAGCAACACAAACAAAGCGCGTCAATCCATCCACAGCACAACAATATAAACTCCACTCAGCTACATTGTCAAACAACATCAAAAGATTCACGGTAAGGCATCAAGTCTGCTGTGCGAAATATTTCGGCGTACGGCTCATAAGTTGTTCGTCGCATCAGGATATTTGAGATGGCTCGAACATCTGTGCGGTCGGTGTCGCAAGATATCCCATCTTCACCACCCAAACGCGAAAGTCCTATTCGGAGAGTGACTCGACTAGTGCGTCACCAAAGTGTAGACTTGGATGAGCCTCTTAACAATGGAGGAAGCGTTGAGCGTGCGGGTAGGAAGAATGAGCGGAGAGTTCCCCAAGGTTCTCGCGGGGTTGCGCGCAAGTCAGGTTAGTATTCTTTGTATTGCGTTTGTCAACTATTCCTTACAAAGTTTAGAATTGTCAATACTTGCAGAAGATAGCGAAGTCTCGCCCGAACAGGATGAGGAAGTAGAAGACGAAGAAGAAGACGACGAAGATGAGGAGGATCCCGAAGCAACCAAGGTCGCAGATTTTCAAGGATATGATTTAGAACATGGTGATCGCAGTAATTTGTCAGGTGAAACGCTCAACACATCACATACCGTACGGGTTATGCAAGCAATCGACTCCATATCGGCTATCGAGACTCTTCCGGACCTTTATGATACAGCTTGTAAGATTATCAACAAATCCACGAAAAAAGATGTTCGTCCAAAGGAAATGGACCGCCATCTCAGATCTTTAAAAAACCTTTTTGATACTTTGGAAGTTAATAAAGAGCCATATGGAGGAGAACAATTCATCGAGGTTGACATCGTGAAGAAAAAGCTGTCTGAATCAATAGACTCTGTGGATCATAATTCAGAAGGCCTCGGAGACAAAGCTATTCCTGTTACTGCCATTCTTCAATCGTCAAATCTTGCAACTTTAATAGGCCAAGTTAATCAATTGCGCAAAGACGTTGAAGCTCCTGAAGAGGAACTGAAGGTATTCCTTCAGTCTTTAGATAAAACCTTCCCTCGCCCATTTGTATCTGAGTTTGCTGAGCCTTTGGACGAGGATTCCGAAAACAGCAAATTAATTAACAAAACTTTCGACATGGTGTTAGACATACGAACTCAGCTGTTTATAACTGCCTCGCATCAGCTAGAAACGGACCCGGGATTTGATCCAGATCATATTCTAAGATCGTATTTTCTCGATAGCGCAGATAGGGAGGAAATTTGTGGTGTTGATTTCAAGGTTATTGGCCTGGAAGAGCAAAATCAGAGAACCGACGACAGGATAGATATCATCCGTGACACTTTCATGCCTGCAGATGAGGCTACAGGCCCTGGCGAGTACATCGACTTTGACAGACTAGAAGTACTGTTCCCCAGGTCTGAATTCTTCAATAAACTTGTCGGATATAGTCAAGACCGTTTGGCAGAGGTCGAGAAGATTGTAGACAGCCGAGGCGGTATCGAGAACGTGATGGAGCCACTAAAAGATCTTGTAAAAGATTTTGCATCCGATGGCGAACCTTCTATTAATGTAGACTACAAACAGGATGTTGTGGATCGTGACGATAGTTCAATATCGAAAAACAAGGCGTCTCCGCCACCCCCACAAAAACCAAGGAAAGAGTAAGAATTCCTTGTCAATATACCATCCCACTCAAACAGCTTAGAAATCGGACCCCCACTAATAATATTCTAGGCCTCATGCTGACCTCAAGGCTATATCGAAGCTTATGAAATTCAGAAGTCAAGGTGATGGGGGAGGCTCCTCGAAACTTGACTCTAGTACAAATGTTAAGTCTATCATCCGCGATTCATCACGGAGACAATCAGAGGCGCAACAGGAGGAATCTGAAATCACCAGAAATTTTAAGAAATTTACAAGTTCACAGAATAAAGAGAATAAACGACCTGACCAACACCAAGAATCTCGAGGTGCCACGGTGCCAACAGATACCTCGAGGCGCGCAATGTATAGAAAGCATCCCAATGGTGAAAGAGTGGATTGGAATGAGGATAGCCAAGGGTTTCTAATAGACTCTCAGCCAAGGAACAACAAGCGCAAAAGTCCTCTTCCTCTGGATGATGAAGCCGATAGTTCGGATCACGGCTTTCAAACCGATCAAAGGGCAGCCGAACCTACAGCTCGTCCGCGCAGGGCTAGGGCAGAAAATGAGGCACTCCTTCAACCAATAAATAACAAGCGCAAAGCTTCCGCTCCGCCAGCAGTTCAGCCAAATGACAAGGGAGTTCCCTCGCAAAGAAACAACAAACGCAAAGCTTCCTCATCTCCAGCTGTCGAGCTGGAAGACGATGATTATAGCTCAGATCAAGGCTATCAAAGCCATCAGAAATTATCTAGACCCATAGCCCGCCCCACCAAACGAGCACGTACCGAAACAGGTGAAAGTTCCCGAGCACAAAATCCACGTGGGAATAGGCCTCGAGAAATCCACTCACCGCTTGTCGTCGATGACAATGGCGATGTTGATGAAGTGCAAAATCAATCTGCCTTGGTACGACAAGACCAACGCAGAAGAGAGCAATCTCGATCATACCAAGTCCGAGGCATGTCACCAGGTCGATCAAGAGGCCGTTCAGTGGCAAACCAAGACGATGATGAAGGCAGCATACAACTACCTGCTGATGAGCATTCAAACGAAACGCCATTTGCATTCACCCAGGCCACTGCTCGTGCTAATGCAAGAGTACAAGCAGTCAAAAGTGGCTTCAGTAAGGCACAAACTCGCACAGAGTGGTCTGATGGCGATACGCAGCTTCTCATCGATTACATCAGTGGAATCGGACCGATGTGGACAGAGATTGAAAAACGTGGTGGGTTTGAACGTGCAAACATTAGTCAGGTTGGTTTGAAGGACAAGGCGAGGAATATTAAGGTTTCTATGTTATTGTAAGTGAAATTAACCCTAACCCCAAACTTAACCCTAGCCCTACCTTCGAATAAGCACATCACAGGTATTAATATTTATATCATTACAGGGCTGGTCAAAAGCTTCCGCCAAACTTCGAAGGGGTTAAACTAAATGTCAATCTTATCAAAAGGGTGAAGACCACATGGCCAAATTACGATCCATATACGGAAACTGGGTATGCTGCATTTTAATTACATGATCGTCGTTCAAAGTGGCAGACCGTGCTTCCATGAGTTGGTTGTTTTTGATGATACACTGGATTGAGTAAGGGATCTACCTGAAAGGTGTAATTATATTTTCTTGATTCAAAACCGATTGCACAGAACGGACCTTTGGATAGAAAGGATCAGTATTTACTAGTTTCTAAACATATCACATGGCGGTTAGTGGAGTTTGGCTGGATTTATGGCGTCTGGATGGATGGAATATCGGTAGGATGATTATGAATGTGTATATATTTTTGTTTTTGCAGGCGAAGTTCATTGTATCTTGAGGGACTGGCATAGCTAAATGTGTGGGTGTTAGAGGAGTTTGTCTCGATGAGAATGGCCTGGCTGGGCTTGAAATGGGTCGGAGCGGGGAAAGCAATGCATTTTCTTTGAACCATATTGTAATGATTTCATAAGATAACACATGAGTGGATCCCTCATACTAAAATTTCCCTACATATGCTCTACTTATATGCAAAAGCCAAATGATAAATATATTTGATCATCGTGATGTTGTAATTGACTTCAACTGAACTAGGAATAGCGTAGCTTCACGCTCGGGCCATTTTACGACCGTCCAATGCAAGGCTGAACATCAAATATATTTTCCGCCCTCAACATCAGCCTTATACATTCTATCCACGCCATGCATCCCAAACCATGTCCCAACGTCTATTCTCCGCCTTGAAAAAAGGATCTCCCATCCGACACTTCCTTAAAGAATTCTCCTACTATAGTCTCATAATCGTATCATGGATACCCGCCGTGATCTTCTTTCAAGAACATGTCGCCGCGCTGCACACCATTAAGGGCGCTTCCATGTATCCGTTTTTCAATAGTGGATATAATGAGAGTCAGTCGAGGGATGTATGTTTAGTTGATAAGAGGAATCCTACTGAGGGATTGGAGAGGGGAATGCTGGTGTCTTTCCGGTTTGTTTTCTATTTTCTCAATTCTCTGAAATTCGACTTCATATTCAAATTTAAATCACAGTACTGACCTTCACCCACCTAAGATCCCCCTACCGTCCCGAAAACCTAGTAGTAAAACGCATCATAGCACTCGAAGGCGATCGCGTCTACACGCGCGCTCCATATCCATACCCAATAGCAGATATACAGGCGGGACATGTATGGGTTGAGGGGGATAATAATGCGGATGCGAGAAATTCGCTAGATAGTAATCATTATGGTCCTATTGCGGTTAATTTGATTAATGGGAAGTTGACACGAGTGCTTTGGCCTTGGGGGAGTATGGGGCGTATTAGGTGGGAGGGGTGGAGGGGGAGGACGAAGGTGGTTAGGGGGTGGAATGGCAGGGGGTGGAATGGCGGGGTGTGAGGTAGTTGGGAGGGGAATGAATGTGAGAGGGAGGAATGAAAGCGTTGGGGAGAAAAGGGCTGGCTTTGTGTTATGCATATTGTTGGGTAATATGTCGAGGGGTTTAGTGCTCGAAGTTAGACATGTCATTTTCAATAGAGTCATCGAAGTATATATGTAGTATATTGGACCGATAGAAAAATCTCGAGAAGCAATCAAAAACCCGTTTGATATCCTTTAATAGGTAGTTACAAGCAGTGTCTTTTAAATGGTCGTGACTGGATAGTACAGTAGAAACTGGTCATAAGAAACTACATTATAAGGAATACAGTAGAACCTGGCTCTGGCTCCTGGCTCTGGCCATAAGGGACTATATTATAAGGGATAAATAACTCTTTATAAGGAATAAAAAATTTCAACTACATTTATTTTATATAGTGATTTTATTTCGGCTTATAGGGGATTGGATATATGGATGGGACTTCTTTTTATAGAGGATTCAAATTGGTTGAAATTTTTGGTCTTTTATGGATAGATAACCAGGCTACAATGGCACCCCCACATGCCTTCTATTGACTAGGTAGGTAGGTAGTTTACAGATTTTCGATAAGCGAAGAATCGTCTGAGGATGAGATAAGCCCCCACTACCAAAAACAAAATATATCACACTTCCCCTCACTATCATCATCAACATCAACAACAACAACAACATACTAAAGCACTTCCTTCCCCCCTCTCATCAAAATATCCCACAAATACAAAATGGGACATCTAGCCACCCTCGCCACGTGCAATTTAAACCAATGGGCTTTAGATTTCGACGGTAATCAAAAACGCATTATTGAGAGTATTCGACGGGCAAAGAGCGCAGGAGCTTCGTTGCGCGTGGGACCCGAATTAGAGATTACGGGGTATGGGTGTCAGGATCATTTGTAAGGGATTTTTTTATTCTATTAGTTTTTTTATTTAGTTTTGGTTTTTGGTTGGATTTTGGATAGAGGAAAAGATGTAATAGGAACTGATTATCTCATAGTCTAGAATCCGACACCGAGTTGCATTCTTGGGAGTCGTTGGCCGAGATCATTGCGCATGATGATTGTCGGGATATTTTGCTCGATATTGGTATGCCCGTTAGGCATAAGAATGTTAATTATAATTGTAGGGTTATTTGTTATAATGCTAAGGTTAGTAGAGTATTGTTTCTTTTTTGATTTGGTTTAGAGGCATGAGATTTTATAATGGATTTTTTGAATTTTTTAGATATTTTGAACGTTTTAATGTTTTAATGTTTTAATGTTTTAATGTTTTAATGTTTTAATGTTTTAATGTTTTAATGTTTTAATGTTTTAATGTTTTAATGTTTTAATGTTTTAATGTTTTAATGTTTTGAATATAATTTCTATCTGTGTTTTGAACTTTGTTCGGGTTGTTTTTTTATTCTGTTATATTGGTTTCGATTTTTATATTCTGTTTATTTTATATATTGGATTTACATTATACTTTGGATTCATTGAAACAATAAATGGATTCGGGATTTGAACTTTTTAGGAGATACCGCGATATGTTCAGACATTCATAATTTTTCAAACATTGAATGATTTCGGATTTTATTCCAGGCTGGACTATTGGATATCTTTTCATTATGAATTGCAGCTAATAAAACGTAGATTCTACTCATTCGCCCTAAGCTCTCTTTGGCTTCGGATGGAAATTATCGTGAGCAAAGATGGTTCACACCATGGAAAGGGCAGAGGATAGTAGAGCAGTATTATTTACCAAGATTGATCACCAAAGTAACAGGACAACATAAAGTTCCTATTGGAGATGCTGTTATCAGTACTTACGACTCATGTTTTGGTGCTGAGACTTGCGAGGAATTATTCACGCCAAGAGCACCTCATATAAATATGTCATTGGATGGTGTTGAAATTTTTACCAACAGCAGTGGAAGTCATCATGAGCTTCGAAAGCTGAACATTCGCCTCGAACTCATCAAGGAAGCTACTTTGAAAGCTGGAGGTATATATCTATATGCTAACCAGCAGGGTTGCGATGGAGATCGTCTTTACTACGATGGATCAGCCATGATTGTCGTCAATGGCAGAGTTGTCGCTCAAGCAAGCCAATTTTCTTTAAACGATGTGGAAGTGGTGACTGCTACTGTTGATTTAGAAGAGGTTAGGGCTTATAGAACCTTCAGATCCCGTGCCATGCAAGCAAGGGAAACAGCTCCATATGAAAGAATTGAAGCCGGTATGAGTCTTTCGAGTGATGCTGAGGATGTAAATCCTTTGGTGCAACCAACCAAGGAAATCTCAATCAAATATCACGTTCCTGAGGAAGAAATTGCACTTGGCCCAGCTTGTTTCTTATGGGATTACCTTCGTCGATCTCGACAAGCTGGATATTTTGTACCACTTTCCGGTGGGATTGATAGTTGTGCGACTTCGGTTATAGTTCATTCCATGTGTCGAATTGTCTTTGCAGCAGTCGAGAAGGGTGACAACCCACAGGTTATTGAGGATTTACTTAGAATTGTTGGAGAAGAGGAAGATAGCACATGGCGTCCATCCAATTCACAGGATATCGCTAATCGAATCTTCCATACTGCTTATATGGGATCCACAAATTCCTCATCAGAAACACGAAGTCGCGCCAAAGATTTAGGTGAAAAGATTGGTAGTTATCACTTGAATTTCAATATCGATAATGTTGTTTCAGCAGTCACCACATTGTTCACAACAGTCACCAATTACACTCCAAAGTATAAGATGTACGGAGGAACACCAGCATCAAATTTGGCATTACAAAACATCCAAGCCAGACTCCGTATGGTTTTGGCTTATCTTTTCGCTCAACTCCTTCCGACCGTCCGCGGCAGAACGAAACCTGGATCTCTGTTAGTCTTAGGCTCTGCAAATGTTGACGAATCACTCAGAGGTTATTTTACAAAATATGATTGCAGTAGTGCAGATATCAATCCCATTGGCGCCATCTCCAAGACTGATTTGAAGAGATTCATTCTTTGGGCCAGTACAGAATTTGAAATGCCACTTCTTCAAGATTTTATTGATGCTCCACCGACTGCGGAACTCGAACCTATCACGGAAGATTATGTACAAAGTGATGAAGCTGATATGGGTATGAGCTATAATGAGCTATCAATATACGGACGTCTTCGAAAGGTGGATAAATTAGGACCATATGGAATGTGGACTAAACTTCTTCATGAATGGGGTCATGTTCTTTCACCACGCGAGATATATGAGAAGACTAGATGGTTCTTTTGGTGTTATTCTATTAATCGTCATAAGATGACTACACTTACACCGAGTTATCATGCAGAACAATATTCTCGTATGTCATTATCCTTTCATTTCTATTTTTTCACCATTCCGAATTTCAAGGGACATTCAAACTAATTACTAACTTTTCAAAGCGGACGATAATCGATATGATTTAAGACCATTCCTCTATCCCGGCTTCTCATTTGCATATAGGAAGATTGAGAAGGCATTAAATGCCATGGGGATAGCTGCAGACAAGAAACCAGAGGTAGACGGAGAGAAAAAGACAGAGTAGATAGATATTTATTTCTTTCATCACGTATGAAGATAGAATCTGGGGAATTGTAAGTTCTTCTTTATAAATACTATATTTGAGAGGATACAGCTTATTGCTGAATGGAAATAAATTTTATGGAATAAATCGTCAAAGTTCGGGTTGATATCTCGAGTTCGTACGGGGTCGAGGTATACTTTATAGATTTAGATATTGAGTAAGAAAAAAACTGACTTCAATTATGGTTTCTATTAAAGACATATCTGATCTCATCTCATCTCTCTCTCTATATATATATAATATAATTTTGAAATTATGTATATAAAAGGGGATGGTTGGAGGTGGGGGACGGCAGAGTCGAGTTTCAATCGTCTCAATAGATGCCAGCCTCATAATAATTATATATTGGGTTTTGATGTGGAGTTCAAGCAAGGAATAAGAATAGAGAACACAGAGATAAAATTACTTACTAATTATTACCTATGCTTTAATAAATCAGGGTGGGTTAATTATCGTAAATTCGGCTTGCAAGAGATTATTTAGATTCTTCTTTCTTTCGCATGACTGGTATACATATTCAGGCTTTTGCTTGTGAAAGGGAAGGAAAGGAAAGTAAGGAAGGAGGAACTTTTGGAGTTTTTTTACGAGAGTATGTTTTTTGATTTTGTGGTTGTGTTTGATGGTTGATGGTTGAGATATTGAGAGTTTGAATAACTTTTGAGTTTGACGTTTATGGTGTATATATGTATCTGCTAGATATAAATTGCGGATTTTAATTGTAATTGGGATTGAGAAGTAGATTCATTCATTCATCAAGTTGTTGGGGTTGGGAGAAGCTCGAGGATGAAACGTACGATATTTATATTATATTCACTAGAGAGTATTATGACTGATCATGATATGTATATTTCTATATTTCTAGGTTGATTTATTAGTATCAGTAGGTATGTATCAGGTTATGGTAATGAATGGATAAATAGATTATGCGAAAAATTATGTTGAGTGGGTGGTTATTATGAGGATGGGAATGTAAGATTAAATGAGAGGGAGAGAAGTTTTATCTACCTACTTATAATACAACTAGTATAAGTTGGCGAAGTCATGAAGTACTCGAGTAGTATCTTCTACAGCATTTATACAGTGTTGAATCTTTAATCTGGAAACCTATTTTTATTTTCTTTTCTGAAAGAAATATCAGAAATATAACAGGAGAGTAATGAATACCGTTTGTGATTTTGTGGTGGATTTTTGAAAACGGGGAGGGCCATCACATTTTTGATGTATGAATTATGGATGATGTATGGATGGATATCCGAATCATAACATAACCTCAGCAGTCAAAGTCTTTAAGTGATTTGGAATAGTTCATGTACTTTTGATATGAATGGTGCTTGGCACGGCACATAAAAATGGTGTGTTGGTAATGGTTAATTTTTATTCATGACTCCTTCCCGATTACAACAAGTAAGGGTGATGTTGTTCGTAGATTGGTTTTGATGAATGAAGTTCTAGTCATGTTAGTTGAAGTGTCGTTTCATACCCATTTCGACATTGATGTTATTTTATAGAGCGAGTTTTTGTTAATAGATTCTCCTCAATGACTGGAAGTAGTGGGTATATTATTCGTAAATCTTGTTCGGTGGTATTCGTACCAGCTGAAATGTTATTCCATATCCACAGTGATATATCAATGATGCATCAAATGGAATTATCATTCATAAGTCCTTCCTAGTGGTTGCACAAATAAGTCTACACAATCATTTTCTACCCGTTTTGATACATGAATGAAGCTTCAAATAGCAATACCATTCACTAACTATTTCTCCATGACTGTTAATAGCAGGAAAATCAATCTACACAGTGATTTCACACTATTTTTCACACCAAATCAATGCTTCGAATAGTTTCGACGGCTAAAAATGGCATTTCTATGAATGGAAGTGTCATTCCATACCTATCTCGATACATTAATCATGCTTCAAAAGATTAAATCAGTCAGAATGCTCTTCATAATTGCAAAATTCAGCGTAGAATCTCCCTCTCCAAAGTGCTTTTAAGGCTCGAGGATTCCCTGTTTGTAACCTTTCTTCTTCTTCATCAACACAACAAAACATACATTTCCCAGCCAAAGCAAGATCTGAAAACATCCAAAGCCATCCAGCACTCTATTCAGCTATAATACCACATCTTGTTTAATCACACTATCGAAACCCAAATTTATCGGCTCCAAAAACTCATCTCACCCCAACATCCCATCCTATTTGAACCTGGTATCCTCGTCAAATAAGAATACTCAACAGTTAAAATGAGTTTCCCATACCAAAAAGTCACACAAACAAACCGCCTAGCTCGAACTCCAGCATCGTCAGCTGCAGCTCAACCCTCAGGTAGTGCCAACCAAGAAATCCAATATACACCAGGCCTACGCCAAGTAGTGGATGTTCTACCAGTATCGGTTGCACACAGAGATGGTGTGGACCCTGCTGTAACAAAAGCCGCCAAAGATCGGTACGAAATTGCTCCCAGTTTGCAAAACCCTGCCAAATACACGGCAACAGTGCCAGGGGATGTCGCTGGAAAGAAACAGAAATTGTATAAACTTAGCAAGAAGAGCGGGAGCAAAAGCCGAAGCCGAAGCGGAAGCAAAAGCAAAAGCAACGGGTGCCATATTCTTTAGGGGACGAGATATGATTGCTGAATTGGTGCATCAACAAACACTACAACGTGTTGGTGTTAGGTTGTGATTCGGGAGTATGGTCGAGATTCGGTTTTTAAGCGATGGGAGTGGAGGAACGGAAAGAAAGGGGAAAAGCCGGTCTTTCTTTTTACTAAGAATGAATACTTGAAGACGAATATAAAAGGATCGTTTTAAAAGCGACGGATATAGAACGTGGGAGGTAAAGGAGATTTTAATAGTGCATTCGATGCATGAAAAAAGTAACGAGCCTGATTTTTAGAAAATAAGACTTTGTCATAATCATACATTCATGCCCCAGTGTGACTTGACATTGCCGTGGAATTGAAAGAAGCAAATTCAGACCTGAAAGTAGTTGATGAAGTGGTCGGGTTGACGGTGCTAACTGATAGCAAATAGCGGAATTGCAGTTACTTGAAGTTCTGCAACCATTCATTCAGCTGATCAGTAATTGATCATTGGGACGATTCTTCATTTTTCTTCATTTCAAGGTGATCTTGTAGGAGACCTTGGGGATATTTTGTAGGATTCGAATGACCTTGGTAATATTTTCTTATCCATTTCAATTTCGATTTCTAATGAGGAAATGATTCGCATAAAATTCTGTGAGAAAATGATTGAATTTGATGAATTAGAAAAATGAAAAGATTCAGAAAAGAAGTATATCTTCATCTCTTCAATGACTCCCGTAATAAGTAAGGATTAATTACCCATTAGCTAATTCAGCGACTGACCGATTGACTAAGATTACTCTGACAATAGGATAATTCTAGTCTAACCCCTGAATCATTTTAACCGGAAGCGAGTTATGATACATATAGTAGAAAATCAAGAACGACCTGACTGTATATTAGAAATGGGAAAAATTGATGAATAGAATAAAAATTTCAATTAGTCAAGTCATTAATAAACACTTGGTTTTTTATGATTGACTAATATCACTGGTCAACTAACCAGTATATAATCCTCCAACCCCTCAAGCCCTCAACTCTTCAAACTCTTCAAACTCTTCAAACTCTTCAAACTCTTCAAACTCTTCAAACTCTTCAAACTCTTCAAACTCTTCAAACTGTTCCAAAATCCAACCATATTTCGATTCGATACTTTACTCTCTTAAGAAAAGACCATACCCACCTCGATCAGACATCGTAAGTAACATCCTCATCTAACCTTACATATAAACAACAAATCTAATGCATTACACATGTGTAAAGACTTCATTGTTGAAAAGTATGATTGCAGCGACTGGCACGTGAAAGTCAAAAACGAGTTACGCAAGATACAACTCATCTTCCAAAAATGCGAGGCGGCACAGCGACGTGAAGCCATGGAGTTTCAACGCTTAGGCGACGACGCTCGTCATATACAGGGATTGGGTATTTGCAATGGAATTAAAATTCCAATCCCGGATCCCATTCCTATAACATTGCCACGAGCATGTCCAGACTGCGAGAAGAAAGCGCTGGAAGCTGCGAAGCGTTCAAGGGAAGCGGACCTTGAACGAATCAGAACAGAATCACAACCTCAAGAACTCCCAGCAGCTCCGGGACCGGCGCCAAAAGAAGGGACAGATGAGGTTGCAGGAGCGAGAATGACTGAAAAATTTGTAATCTGGGATATTGGTGGAGGAGGAAGAGAAGCTTGGATCAAAGATGACTCTGACAATGAGCCAAAAATCAAGGAAGAAAGTCCCGACACATCGCGCCCCGCAGGTCCTAGCGGAAGCGGAAAAAGACACAGAAGCAGAAAATAGAGACCCAACCTCTTTGATGATTACTGGTATGGTGTTTCTGAAAACCAAAAGTAGCTAGCTGATCATGAGTTTAAGTTTGACGGAGTGAATTTTTACCTCTGGGTCTTAAGCTCTGGGATGGTAAATAATAACAATAGCCTGATTTTCCAAAGCATGGGTTTTTAATCGCTGTATTCATATCTCGTATATCGTCATTGTGAAGTTATGATTGGAATGAGTAAATGAATAGGTGGAGTGGCGTGATTAATTAATATAACGAACTCGAATCAGGCGAGTTTTATGATATGTACAAATATAACCTATAGCTAATAAAGTAATGATGAGTAGATGAATGTTCAATCATTTAGTCGGTCAATCCGCCATCAATAACACTTGACATTCTATTGACTTATCAATACCATTATTCGGTCGAGTAACTGACTCTTGAATATCTTAGTCAAGGTAAGATTAAACAGCACTTCCTTTCTTCCATTCTTTTCTTCTGTCCCAACACCAAAAACTTTTCAGCACTTCAAACACCTCATCTTCATCATCACCATATCCACTTGAATAATCAATCGAATTTGCTCCAATACTATATCCCACTTGGCCAGTATTAAAATAAGATCTCACACATAAGAATCCACCATCCGAGTCATAAATTCATCAATTCAAATATAAAAACTACAAACTTCTAATACCTACCATAACCTAACTTAGGAATAAAAAACCTTAATTACTCCAAAACAAGCAGCGAATGAAAAATGTAAATATTCTCCCGTTCACTGCTCCCCTCTCATCTCTTCTCAACTAAAGGAAACGAAAGGAAAGGAAAAGAAGGAGTTTTTCCAATTTAAAAAAGAGACAAATAAATCAAATAAATCAAATAAAAACCCCTCAGGATCTATCAGAATATCAAAATCCCTCAACATCCAAGAAAAAAGAAAAGAAAAACAAAAAACAAAAAAAGAGATGTTCCATCTAAGATTTCTCACCCACCAAAACCAGAACCTATTACCTCACCTCACCTCACCATCCAAAAATCAAAAACTTCCTTCCTTTCCTTCCATTACACTTCTCCCTCCCTCCTTCCTCCCTCCGCCATTCCTTCCTCCTCTCCTTCTTTCCCTCCTTCTCATTACATCCTCACCCTCACTCTAACTCCAATCCATCTAAATAAATTACATCCGCCCCTACCTCCTCTCCTCCCCCCCAAAAAAACCGCAACAGCCAGCCAGCCAGCCAGCCGCCAAATCAACGTCAACTACCCTACACTACCCTACACTACCCTACTTTCGCACCATCCCACCTATTTACACCAAAATAATAATAAAAAAATCATGATATATCACCTACCTACCCACCTACCCAGTATTAATATAAATAAAATAATCCATGATAATAAATAACTATTCCAGCGCAGTTCATTCTGTTAACCTACCCCCAACGCCTGGGCCCCCCCCCCCCTCCCCCCCCCATCCGCCAAAAAACACACATATACACATACTCATATGTATAGCATACATATAACATCATATTGCACCAACTAAAACTAAAACAAAAACAAAAACGCCATACCTGTACTATAAGCTAATTAAGCTATCTCGCGACGCATAACAAGCGTAATAATTAAATACTATATCCATATCCATATCCATATAACTCTTAATAAAAGAATAAACTTATTAACCTATTAAATAACTCTTATCTATCCATCCTGCCATACAAAACCCAGCCTTTACCTCATTACCCCTCCATTTATAATTAAAAAAACTACTCACTTTTTACACCTATTCCTATTCCCATCCCTAGTCCAAAACTCCGCGTAAGTACCATCCCTCATTTTCAACCCGACGCACCTCCACTTCCACCCGCACGCGATTCCATCACACCCGCTCCACCCCTCATAGTACCCTTCTTCCCATTATCAACCAAAGTGCCCTCACTATCCCTCTTATCTCTTTTGACACCGCCTACTCCAGCATTTCCCCCAGCAGCAAACTCATCCCCATTCATCCCACCTCCATTCAAACCCGCAAACTGATCATTCGGATGTGATGGAGCAGGACTACCACTAAAAGGCCTCCTGTGAGTTCCATATTCCTTTGGAGTTCCTAAATTCTTATCCGTTCCATGAACATGACTAGCTCCGCTTTCATCCAATTCCCTACCGACCATTCCCTCTTCGGCGAAACTTACTTTATTCGTAGTGTGGGCTTGAGGCTCATAACTTTCACCAACTCGACCAGCGTCTTGACCTGGGTTTGCGGTTTCGTACTCGAGTACTTTTATGAATTTGTAGAAGGCAGAAGCGAGAATTGCACCGAGGAAAGGTCCGAGCCAGTAAATCCAGTGGTAACCGGGGAACTGGCCAGAGACGACGGATGGCCCAAAGGAACGAGCGGGGTTGACGGATCCGCCGGTGAAGTAAAGGCCTGGGAGTTGTTAGAATATATGATGGGATAAAGGTTTAGCGGATTTAGGTGATAATGTGTGGAAATTTAGGCAATGTAAACATGAGTGAAAGATGGTGATGTATACCTGTAAGTTCAGCAATGAATAAAGCAAGACCGATACCAATTGGTGCAATAAAAGTTCCCTTGTGTTTCTCAGCGGCAAGCATAAAGATCGTAAGGGCCAATTGAGCAGTAAGGAACATCTCAATGAAAAGACCTCGAACGATTGATGTTCCGCCTCCCAAAGTGGTTCTAAATGTTATGGGGCCAGGGAAGAGAGCAGAAACAAGGGCAGCAGCTGTGATACCACCAACGATTTGAGCTATGAATAGAAAAAGGCCTCGTAGATATGGGAGAGCGCCGACAAGACACATGCCTACTGTGACCTATGGATTATTAGACGGTATTCCATTGGGCAAGGAAAAACGAAAAAGCGGTTGAATATTCTTACGGCAGGGTTAAAAAGACCACCGTTAGTACGGAAGAAAACCCAAACATTGACTGCCAGAGAAAAACCAAAACTCAAAGCAATATAGAGTAATTGGGCAGGATCGCTTGGGGTTCCGACGATGTTCGAATTGTTGGCTGGTGCTGCTAAGAGAGCCACTTGTGTACCTGCAAAAGCAAAGAAGAGAAAGAGAGTCGTTCCAGCAAATTCTGCCGTCGTTGCCACGAAATGATTGCGTATTTTATCGTGCGAGTGAAGCCATCTATGACCATGTCTGAGTGGGGTTGTTGTGTAACCGACAGTACCTGGAATCCAGCCAGTGAAACGATTTCCATTTGACTGTAATGAATCTCTGCCCGCATGAGGCTCTCGTGACTTTTTACTGTCATTGAAAAAGGGTAGCACAAAACCGCCACCCCGTCTCGGTTCGTTGATGTTCATGATGGCTACTTGAGTGATGACGAATTGAATGAGTAGTCCAGCACGACTAGGTAGAGAATGTGAATTGGTTAAATTGTCTATTTATATTGCTGTACCTCAATGCAACGAAGAACGAAAGATGAATGCAGAAACAAAGAGAGCCGAGGGGCTGAAAATGATACAAAGAAAACCCCGCATCGCCGAGATGAAACTGTAGATCTTGAAACCAAAAGGCAATGGTATAACCGATTGTAAATACATAGATCTGCCAGAGGTATTACAGATACATCGGATGTACGAAGCCGGAGACTTGATAGTGTTTTGACGTAGTATTATGAAAAATCTAGACCTCTGTATCGTAAAAAATGTCGGAAAATTGGACAAAGCCGCAAATAAATTGCACTACGAAAGATGATTATTTTGTGGCAGGTATCTCTTCGATCAGCTTGTAATTTGACACATGAATGCGGAAATAATTGAATCAATTGCGTCTTGAAATGAGCCAACTGTACCTCAAAGCGAGTGATGGCTCGTTCTCGAGCCTATCACAAAAAGAACTGATAGACTCATAGACAACATTGAAAGCTCGTGAAAAGCATTAGAGAAGTAATGATAGGGTATTTGACAGATGACGCTACTTCTAATAAGCTTTCCATATAGAACTTTTGAAGACATGAAAGGTTGGCATGGATGGGGTCTTGATCTGGCTGGAACACAATAATTACTTAGAACTACCAAGTAATGACAGTAATCACGGCTTCAGTAATCATACCCATAGGCCATCTGAAAATGAGTCTACGTGAAATTTGAAGCTGCACGTATTGATTCAAAATTCAAGTAATTGACGTGGTGTCAGACACTAGATTGAATGGCTTAATGATCTTGGAGCGGTTGACGAATTGACCCAATTGATATGTGGCATATCAAGGAATGCGGGATCGCTCGAGTAGATCGAGTGAGATATGAAAGAATTACTTTCTTGATTGCGATTTGAGAAGATGGAGAATTTTGACAATAAATTAAAATGTGAATGCCAAAGCCAAAGGATCAGTATCTTTCAATGGGATAGAAGACTCTTCATCCTGTACCCGCCCTTCATTCAGGAAGGATTGTAGAGATTAGCCTTGCTGTGTTGGAAAGGAGTCGATTGACTTGGCTTTCGCAAATGATCTTGTAGGAGTGTATGCCACTGAGTATAGAGTCAACTGGAGAGTGAGTTGTAATCTTATAAGCCAGAATATAGAATAAATCCCTGATTACTCGACGACGCATCGGTACCAAGTACTGAAAATGATATTAGAAGAAATACGAAGAGGAAGCAAAACATACGAAAGAAATATGGGGACTAAGTGTGCTAGCTTAAAGATCCACCGAAACAAGCTTTTTGTACATGGTCAAGTGTGGGATTTTGGATAAAAAATTCTACGAGGAATAATAATAGTCTACGGAGTATGTAGGGAGTAGTCCTAGACACAGCCACAAAGATTTCCTGTTTGGGGAGGAGAATTGACCGTATATGGTAAATGGATGACATCCTATATATATATACTAATTTCAAATACGACTTGACTACTCCTTACTACCTATCCATCATTGATTGATATTCAGTGCTACGGTATCGCCACACTCCAGCATAGAAAAGTCCAGTTACTAGGTATGTACGATGTGGTGTACGGAGTATTGGAACTATGTATGATCTTACCTTATTGTTTGCTGGCATGGGGAACACGAATGAAAATGATCCTATATAAGAGTTGAAGCAAAACTAGAAAACCAGCGGGGTAATGCATACTACATTTATTCCATATACTAAAATAGTGAAATAAAAATGCATGAATTTATATAGAATAAATAAACAAACTTGCCACACCTATATATCATCAACCCCCTCTCCTCTTTCCGTTATGGTAAACTACCTAGCCACAAATCCACAAATCCCCTTTGTGTGACCTAAAGGTGTGATCGACAACAACTGATTCATCCCACTCGCCTACCAACAACCTTTTTGTGGCTCAACTTCCGCTGATGTATTCCAACCCACGACGCCTTTCACCAACCTCAACCTTATTAATTCTCTCTACCAACAACCGTGTTTGTTTGTATTTGGCATCAAACATATTTTACGACGGCCCCTTTCCATCAAGTCGGATGCGATCAAGCTGGTGCAGAGTCCAGCTGAAGAGCTGAAGGATTGTACTGTCGGCGCTTTCAAGATATTTGAGCTTTGAAGTTTAGTTTAAACATACGATATCCATCATGCGACCACCAAGAATTGTATTAATTATTGCCTTCCTCGTTACTATTTACTTCCTCACCCTTTTATCTGTGCCGTTCTCTCATTCACAGGATGTAGCCGCTTCCACGACAACCCGCAAGAGTGGCATTCAATCGTTATTCTCCTTCCGAGCTCCATTCTCACTCTTCCCTCCCAATGCAATCATAACCCTCACAAATGATAATACGACTGCTTTCCTGGCAAGGCCTGCTGCTTTTGGGCCCTTACTACCCAACGAAGGATTAAAAGGGCAGTTATGGATAGGGAGTGGGTTTGGAGACGATAGCATACGGCAAGGTCCTGTCGCCTCCGGTGCTGAAGGCGAACTAGGCTGTAGTGATGTGCCGGGTTGGGTCGATAATTTTGCAAAGTCTGGCGCGATAGAAGGAGTTAAATCTGGAGATGATAAATCTGCGACGACTGCGAGTAAATCGAAAACAAACAAGAGGGCACATGAAGATGATGAAACTTTCATCGATCGTACACCGGGCAGTTCCGCGAAGGGTAAAGATAATGTTGAAGGGCCCTCGGTCGACGACGGTACCGATGATTACCTTCATCATCCTCTACTAGGATCAACAGTATCAAAACATACGGACAAGCAACCCACGGACCTGAAGGCAAACCATGCAGATATTCAATCTATACAGGAAGGTGCGGAAATCGCTGGAAAGGTCGTCTTGTTGAGCCGTGGAGGCTGTGGATTTTTGGAAAAGGTCAAATGGGTACAACGTAGAGGTGGGATTGCTTTAATTGTCGGTGATGACAAAAGTGGCGGGCCACTAATTCAGATGTATGCTCGGGGCGATACATCAAATGTGACCATCCCAGCCATCTTTACATCCCGTACCACGGCACATTTACTCTCTTCTCTCATAGGGCCAGGTGCATATAAGGAAGATGTGCTGGATGAGGGTGGTAAAGCAACATTGAAGGTTCAAAAGAACGATAAGTCGAAGAATGTTTCGAAAAAGAAGAAGACGAAGGAATCCCAGCCTACGTTTACAGCTACCGCTGCAACACCCAAAGCTACAAAGGCAGCTCGAACGAATTTGAAGAAGTCGTCTAAAAAAGCATCTTCAAAGGCCGAGGAGAAAACTACAACAATTGAAACACGAAAACCAGGTTGGTTTAAGTCGTTGTTCTATGGAACTGGCGGACGAGGTTCTGTAAAGGACAGCAGTCGACCACCGAGCAGTGGCCAACTTGATTGGGTTCTTGTTGATGACTGGAAGGACGATGACAATGCCGGCACGAAGAAAATATCCACCGCCAAACTCACCGGTCAGGAAAAGGTGGATGCAGAGAAAAAGTCGCAACAAACTAGCAAGGGTTCAAACACGGCTACATCAGGGGATGATTTTGTTATTGGTGTTCAGGATTGGCGTGATCCGGATTTAGTAGGGTCATCTGATAGCAAGGATTCTGAAAAGAACTCGGAAACAGGTACCACGAAGACATGGGGGAAGTCTGATACAAATAAGGCAAAAAATGAATCACCACAGCCGACAACGGCAGGCAAGAAAAATTCAGGTAGTATCACTGAAGAAGGGACTGAAGTTACACCTAAATTACGAGGTGGGAGTATCACACCGGGTAGTGGAGAGTACGCACCTAAAGTCGCTTCAGATGTGGATAGGACCAAGGCTAAGGAGACGGGAGAAAAGTCCAGCTCAATTGGTAGCAAAACTAAGGGTATTTTGACAACTATCTTTGGTGATGATGAAGAGGATTTTGAGCTCATTTCGCCAGGATCAAGTAGTACTGGCAACGTTGATATGGATGATGAGAACGAAGAAGATGACAATGACGAAGGTGATGAGGAAGATGGACTTTGGGTTACATTAACACCCACCAGCGGAGCTAGCCCATTCCTCGACACTCTATTAGTCCTAGTTGTCAGTCCGTTGGTCACTTTGACCGTGGTTTACGCATTGCTGCTGCTCAGATCGCGTATAAGGAGACGTCGTTGGAGAGCACCTAAATCTGTTGTCGAAAGATTACCTGTCAGAACTTATCAAACTATTAATACCCCTGGAAGTCGATCCCCGACGGTGCCATCCCCGTCCAATTCCTCAGCAACCACCCCACTTCTTTCACATACAACACCCAGCAGACCTCGTCCGAGATCACGGACGACAACGGGCATACCAGAGCCTGGAGACATTGCCCGTGTCAATTCAAATCCATTACATGTACCCGCGCTCACAGCACCTCAAGCTAATGAACATGAGAAAAATGTTGGATCACCCAGTCAATGGAAGAAATATATGGGCAAGCAAATAGAGTGTGTAGTGTGTTTAGAAGAATACGTGGATGGTGTTAGTCAAGTCATGAGTTTACCATGTGGCCATGAATTTCATGTGGATTGCATGTATGTCCTATCTTCCTCATTCCCATTGATGATTTTAAATAACTAATAAATTTTCTAGCACGCCTTGGTTAACAACACGTCGACGAACATGTCCTATCTGCAAGGGTGATGTCGTTCGTTCTCTCGCTCGAGGATCACCTTCTTCTCCGCGCTATGAAGCGTACCATGATGACGATAGTGATGATGATATACAAGCTCAAGCAGCGGAAACTGTAAATACATCCTCTTCATCCACCCTACCCATTTCCCGCAATCTCGAAGATGAAATTGTAAGGGACCTAGAACAAGGGATATCTTCCCCTACACCAAGTCGCGCTGGCAGAAATGTTAATAGACGAGGGGAAAGTTGGAGGAGTATGTTGGTTGATAGTTCAATGAATCTGTTAAGCGGAAGTTTAGGATCTGGATCAAGAAGTAGAAGTCCGCGAAGAGGAGAAGAAGATAGGAATCGGTGAATATTTTTCTGGAGACAGATTATAACATTTTTAATGGATGGAAGGAAGGAATCATGAAACGGGAAACGGGAAATGGAAATGGAGTTAAGCAAGTGGGATGTTTATCTATCTCTGTATTAGGTAATCTTGTAAACATCTCCATAACTGTTGACCTTTCTTTTTCCAATGTGTCGATAGACAGACAATACAGGAAATGAAATGTATGGAGTAAAAACGAGTATCCTTTTTATATGGTGTAGAGGATGAGGATAGGAAGGGAAGGAAATGGATGGATGAATGGGATGAATGGAATGAATGAATGGATTTTTTTAAACACCTACATACCTACCTAGGTACTCTAAAAGATTAGACTTGATGTCTAGGGTGTGATTTAGTGGTTTATGGGACAGGGGAAGCAAGGAAGTAAGGCAAGGAGGGTTTGGTTTTATGGTATGGGCTATGGAATATAGTTATGGATGGCGTTGTTTTGTTAGTTAGGTGGGTGGTTAGTTGGTTAAGTGGGTGGTTAGGAAGTTATTTATAACTTTTACTCCTTTACTCATTTTGTTATTTGTGTTGTAGGTATATAGCTATATTTATGTGATGTTATGTAACTAGGTGGAATGAATGAATATCTGGATGCTTGGATAGATAAAGAGAATAAATAGTGGAGATTACCTGAGTCGAGAAAGAAGAAAATAAATCAAAAGATGTTATCAACACACCTCATCAGATGCTTAAGGTTCATCTATTACTACTAGGCACCAAGGTACTCGCATTTAGATGATAGATATATAATGGTTGATGTATGGAGTATGATTACCTACCTATGTATGATCTGGTGATGAATGATCAAAATACGGGGTAGCAAGATTAATGATTAATATAAGATCTTCAATAAGCACGACCAATCGGCTTATCTCCTTCCTTGCATGTGGCTGGTGGTAGTATGTCGGGGAAAAAAGTGCCGAGGATATGCGGGTAACCTAGTATGCGATCGATGAATGTATGATGTAGGTCTTGGATATTGGTGGTTGGGATTGAGGGGATGATTGATAATTGGGAATAGTTTTGTTGATCTTTTGAACTTTATGTTGCGGTAGAGTAGGGTAAAGATAGGTAGGTAGGTACTCATGACCATTTGTAATGGTTAGTTGGTTTAACCTTATGCGTGCATGAAACTTGTAGAAATACTAGATATTCTTTACCTAGGTACCTATTTGATAACCGATAGAGTACCTAGACGACTTACTTGAATCTCTGAACTTGCGATAGATACGCTACGATAAGATACGATACGATACGATACGATACGATACGATACGATACGATACGATACGACTTTCTCTGTGTATACTCGAGTACCTACCTACCATTATACCTACCTACCTAGGTAATCTGTACCTTATCCTATCAACTTTGACTTTTTGGATCATTCACCTCTCTTTCTTTCGTTATAAACGGATCTTTTTCTTTTCTTCTCTTTCTTTTTCTTCCCTCTTTTATTACAAGACGGTACCTAGACTTGGATCGATAGATTTTGATCTCGGGATAAGAATTAGGGTAATAAACCTTTCTTCTTACAACCCTGTTTGACGGAGATAAATTGATCAGTGAATTATTGGTGGGGTGGATGATTCATTCATTTGATTGATTTGATTCACTTGATTGATTGAAGTGTGCACGAGCGGGCTCTGCATGATCGATTGTTGCTTGTGGGTGGGATAGTGGGATTTTGGGATTTTGGGATATTGGGGTATTGGTGGAACGGTAGTTGGTATTTGAAGACGGGTTTCTGAGCTGCGGGAGGATTTGGATTGGATTTGGACTTGGACTTCGACTTGGGTTTTGTTGTGAAGTGAGGAGAGTAAGCAGAGGAGAGTAATCAGAGAACTAGGGGAAAGAGAGAGAAAGAGAAGAGAAGGGGCAAGGACGATTGCGCTACCTTTATCGCGACGAACATTATTTTATATATACCTTGGGCGTTTTCACCATAAGAGACGGAGTGCGCTGAGTTACTGCTAAGTGAAAGCTGCGTTCGATTCGATATCTTACTGCGCGGCGCATTGAGGTCAACGGCGCATCGAGATTCGCATATATTACGACACGGAAACGAATATTATACAAGGTGACGGTGGTATAGATTTACTAGAGCTTGGATTAGAGATTGGATTTGAGTATCGGACGGAGCCAAGCTAGAATCATGGCTGTGGATAAATCGACCGACAGGATGGATGAGGAGAAGGGCTTCCCGAATGATGTAGGTGTTAAGACATTAGAAGTTAAGAAGGGATGTGGATGGGGAAGACATGCTACAAGGAAAAGGTTGCCTGGAGTTACGATCTGGTTAGAGGTATGGTCTGTCCCTGTTGCGGACTTCCCCTCTCGATTTACTTGGCTTTTTCGTCACACATATTGAGATGAATTGTCCGACATAAGATGAACTTAAAAATGGATGTAAGAAGCTAACTCGTATCTGCAAAGCTTATAGCAATTGCTCTCTTAGTCACAATGTTATATCGACAACAACATGCGTTAGGATGTTTGTCATTGGCGATGCTAGGGTTTGGTAATACGTCTGCGAGACCTAATACTACTCTTCCTTCATTTGTGTTTGATTATGGTAAGGAAGTTCAGCCCGTGCATCAAATATGCATATCATGAAAGTACTCACTAACATGTGGCTTGTTAGCACCACTTGTTTGGTTGGACGAAGCAGAAATGTATTTTCCTTCCGACATGTACGCCCAAATCCTCAATACTAAGCCCTATGTCAATCTTACCTTAATACCAAATGACACGCTTCCTTCTCCACTCAACCTCGAAAATCTTGATTTTTTGAATAATTGGGGTCTAAACGTCTATCTAACCTCCAATATTGATGTCACCACCTCCCCTGCTTACCTTACCGGCGTCGTCCCCTCCTCAGCTACCGGCCGTACCCAAAACGCCATTTCCTGTTCCGTAATTCTCTCCGATCATGGGGATGGTCTCATGGATGTCTTTTACATGTATTTTTACGCCTATAATCAAGGAAACACCGTTTTCGGACAAGAATTAGGTGATCATATAGGAGATTGGGAACACAACATGATTCGCTTCGTAAACGGTACTCCCCAAGCAGTCTGGTATTCCCAACATGCAAATGGTCAAGCATTCCTCTATTCTGTTGTTGAGAAAAGTGGAAAGAGACCTATTGCCTACTCGGCTCGTGGTTCTCACGCTAATTACGCTATTCCCGGTACTCACGACCATACGATCCCAGATCTCAATCTTCCAGCTGGCCTCCTCCAGGATTATACATCAAGAGGTACACTTTGGGATCCAGTCCTGTCGTCATATTTCTACACATATGATATCGTGAGTAAAAGTTTCACGGCGGCAAGTGAAGGGAGTCCGGTTGGTGCGATGGAATATGAGGGGAGGTGGGGGGATGCTCAGTATCCGAAAAATGATAAGAGACAGAGTGAGTTTTTTGGGTTTTGGAAGTTTGTCGGGGGACCGACGGGCCCAGCTAATAAACAGTTGGTGAGGAAAAAGGTATGTCCTGATAATGAGATTCTTTGTATTGTGAGGGATAGATTGGGTCCTTAGATTTGGTGGGAGGGATGGGTGATGAGGTTTTTGCGGGTTTATTTGGGTTCGTTATGGGATTGTGAGATGGTTGTCGAGTTTAAAGCGTTTTGCTCTGTTTACTTACTTAGGCATGGAAAGGTACAGAATGATTGGGTCGCCTCTGTTTTTGGAATTGAATTGGAATTGGTGTTTGTTTTTTTACTCCTTGGTTTTGATTTTCGCTTGAAGAGAAGGGAGAAATGAGAGAGGGGTCTGCTACAGATGAAGGATATGGATATGGATATGGATATTGATGATGAGGATGAACATGAAACGATAGAATGATTTCCAGAGCATGGGAAAGCATCCAACGGGATAGACCATAGGACAGAACGCAATAAGATTATAGATTGTATGTATGTTTAGAGTGTGGAAAGAAACTTTGAAAGACTATGCATTTTTATGATTGGAGATCGGGATTGAATATGAGGTATGAGGTATGAGGTTGTTAAAGGGCGTGAGATGGCGATGGGTGAGTTTTGGGATGGAGGAGCGTTGGGCTTTGTTTTGGGCTTTGGTGTAAGATGGAGGGAGATGGGGTGAAGGGAGAGAGGTGGATGGATGAATAAATAAATAGATTGAGTCACCAGACTGGGTTATTAGATATAAATAACATAGACATAAATACTTCATACAAAAATAAAAGAAAGATTACTATAATAATGATATTGATGACCCAATCAATTCTATATATAATATACCTCCCTCCATTCCCCCTCCTGTCACGAACCACATTTTCGATAATAATTAGTAGGAGTTTTCGCTGAACATTATTACTATTATTAGGAGAGTAAGTATACTATACTATACTATAGCGGACTTTTATGATATTCAATATCTTTCTTCAATGATTGACTTTTTTATAATACCTAGCATCTCCGATCACATGATAAAAGGTCTTTAAAAAAATCTCGTTTCGATTGGTCGTTATTTGCATATTAGAAGCTATTATCGCTCTACAATGCGCCTACAATGCAAACAAATCCATAAACCGATTAGTTGGTTTAATTAGATAACTTTTGAATGCTTTTGATATCCCCTTATGATATGAAACCCTTTTACATGACCTCGACTTGGTTCTCATCACTCTCACTCATACTCTCATCTCCACTAACTTCTGCGTTTTCACGTTCTCTCTTCTCCATGAGTGCTTGTAATTCAGCATCATCGTTCTCGGTGACTGCCTTAGGTTCCATCTTGACAATTAATCCACCTCCTGCAGCTTCAATGTTCTTTCTGATATCCACGATTGCGGCTTCCAAGGTCGAAATACCAACGGATTTTTCCAGACATGTGCTTGTGAGAACGTAGAGTGGTGGAGAGACGAGCTTGACCTTGACTTGGTTATCGGCGGTGTTTCTGGCTTCGGCAGTTCTCAAAGCCGTCTTAACGGCATCAATTCCCTCATATCCAAAGCATGTAACTTCGACATCGGCACGAACTTTTGTTGGTTGTGGTGTAAGACGTTTTCCAATATATGATTTTAATTCCTCAGCGACGATATCGTTAGGAAATGAGACATCTTGCCAAGTATCAGCGTTTCTATGTTAATGTCAGTATACATAAAATATCAAAGGACCCAAAAATTCCATACGTTATCGAAAGCTTGAAGGCATCAACAGCATGTCCATATTTCTTATTCAATGGCCACACAATCTTCTCGTACAAATCCTCGATAGGATGCTTTGTTTTCTCCGCAACGTGGCGCATAATCGAATGAACCATTTTACCCTTGTTGTATCGTTCTTCGCATCTTACAATATCCTCAGGTGAAACTCTTCGTTTGGAAAGATCAATGTAACCTGCAATCGATTAGATCAGCCTTCCGCCACAATATACTGTTTGAGGATCTTCTGCATACCCTTCTCCTTATCGACTCTGAGAACAACCACAACCTCATTACGGCCGACACGGATGAGCTTTTGAATACTTCTAATACGACGTCTAGATAATTCGGAGAGGAGAATCATGCCATCGATGTTGTCATATTCGAGGAGCTTAACATAGGCACCCATCTCTGCGATCTGCGAAGCTGGAGATTAGCATCTCTCCTGCAACTTGAACGCGCCTAAGATTCCCTACCTGCTTTGACATTCACCATGACGAAGCTATCGATCTCCGGGTATTTTTCTTCATAGAAACGGCAATTTGTGAGAGACATGATTGCGATTGTTGCGCGACTGGGCGCGGGGTGAAAATTTTGTGGTTTCCGTTGGACTTCCTTGCCAAATTCGAGAGACTCTTTTGAATATCAAATCTTATAGATCACTATGTCGTTGTTGGTGTTTTTTGTACAAATTTGAATTGGTGATAGATTTCTCAAATGAGGCTCCAAGGTTGAAAGAGTCACAATCAATCTTTTGATCGGATTTGGTTTGATGGGGAGGGGCCGTGGTGGGATGGCCTCGCTAAATAAAAAAAAGCTGGAGACTTTTGATTGGTGCAATGACGTTTAGCAGTAAATACCGTACTGAAGCTCGTGAAATTGTTCCCTGGCTAAATTCCAAGAAGGTGATTCGATTCTTTCTCTCAATACAACAACTATTGGTTTACCTGTGGTCGTACTTCAGATATGGAATTGTCGGTCGATATGCGAAAGCGGAATATTTATATATAGCAGAAGATTCTGCTAGATAATTTACACCCTTTCAACACAAAATCATGTCTTCTGAAACTGTTTCCTCCCTTGTGGGAAGCTCCGGGAGCTTCATGGATTCGACAATAGCTTCAACTATGGCCTCGGCAACTGGCATACCAACAAATCAAATGGATATTGAAGCGGCAGGATCATGGTTTGGAGCCTTTGGCAACATGACTATGTTCTTCTTTAGAGTGATTCCGGGGATCCTTTACTGGCTTATAACTTTTACGACAATTACAATGCCGACTTTCCTCTTCACAATGTTCTCAACTAGCTTGACATTTACCATGAATGCTACCACTTTGTATGTGCCATCCATTCTATCTCACTATCAATGCTAATTACTTATCCAAGGATGTTGATCATGGTGGCATTTATGTCAACCATCAGTTGGTTTGTAAGATACCGATTTCTCAACATGTACTCTCGATTACCCCCGGAACCTCAACGAAAGGAACCTCAAATAGACCTCTATCCAGATACACAAGACGAAGGATCAAAGTCAGGGTTCTCAAATTACTTGGATGAATTTCTGAGTGCTATCAAAATCTTTGGTTATTTGGAACGTCCTGTTTTTCATGAACTCACGCGCTCCATGCAAACAAGAAAGCTGATAGCTGGCGAAACCTTGAACCTTGAAGAGGAGAAGGGATTTTGTTTGGTAGTCGATGGATTAGTGGAGATTTTTGTCAAATCGGCTCGAGAAGGACGTGAATCAGATACCGATCCCACGTCGTATGAACGAGAAGATTCGGATAGTGGATCTGGCCCTCACCGAGGTGGTCATCATCAGGGTTACCAATTATTGACCGAGGTAAAGAATGGTGCACCTATGTCATCTCTCTTTTCTATACTTTCACTCTTTACAGAAGATGTCAAATTGAGACATTCTGATGACGAAGATTTTGATGGGAGTGTTTCTGGTACTCCTTATGGCAATTCAGATCATCACGAATTTGGAAATAGCCATGAAGCTCCTCCATCACTTCCCACAAGTCCAATATATGGGGCCCTTACTCAAGATGGTCAAAGAGATGGTAGGGATCGTCGTGCTTCGGCAACAAATGTTAATGGAAGAATACCCCCGTTGTCATTAGATGCTTCAGCCGATATTCATCCACGTCGGCCTAGGCCTAAGAGGTTGACTACAACTTCCGTACATCCTGACATCGTGGCTAGAGCTACAGTGGATACTACAATTGCTATAATACCTGCTAGCGCTTTCCGTCGATTAACAAGAGTATATCCTAAGGCTACAGCACATATCGTCCAGGTCATTTTAACAAGATTACAGAGAGTTACTCTTGCGACTGGTCATTCTTATCTTGGGTTAACTAGCGAGGTTTTGCGCACTGAAAAGCATATGAACAAGTACACGACATACGAATTGCCGAATTTCCTCCGTGGAGATGCGTTGAAGCGCTTGAAGGAAAAGTTCATTCGCGAAAAGGAGAGGATTGGCACGGAAGAAGGTAGCAAAGGTATTGCTTTGCATAATGCTGGAGCCGGAAGACGGCGCAGATCCAGTCATAGCCTCAGAAAAGAAGCCACAATGCACGCATCGTCGGTCAGTGCTTCTATGTCGATGTCCAGACAAACCTTCGAAGCACACGGTGGGGATTCCAGTGTCAGCCCTAGTCCTGGAGATCTTCTTACGAATATTCAGATGTCACGATACGGTGGTAGGAAACCTGCTTCAAGTGTGAAAGGTTCTAGTCCTCAAGTATGGCATCATGATGCTCAAAGTCCTCTTTCTCAGAGGACTTCAAATCCATTCAATAGTCCTATGAATTCACGAATACCTCTTCATCGCCAAGAATCGATTGATGAAGATGGGATGTTTAGGAAATCTATTTTGGAATGTATATTCAAGGCTATCGGTCTTACAAACACTAAGAATGCATTGCGTATGTCAGATTCTGTTGAAGGCTCGCCTCGAATGCTTTCATATGATCAGAAGCGTCAAAAGGCATTTTTTACCAACAATTCCTTTACTACCAACGCCTTCGGCCTTATTGATCCCTACGAAGGTTCTGTAGATGACACTGAATCAGTGACATCTGGTGGAGTCAGTGCTGGTGGATATCCAAGTACGCAGGGGCTTGCCCAAGAACTCAAGGATGAAGTAGAGATTGTTTACTTCCCAAAAGGCTCGGTACTTGTGGAACAAGGAGAGAGAAACCCTGGGCTGTATTATGTTATTGATGGCTTCCTAGATGTTAGCGTTCCTGTTGACGAGAAGTCCGATTCCATGGTGTTAGGCCAATCTTTCCGACACTCTTCGAACGCCAAGAACGCCAATGATCCGATGCCTTCACTATCTAGAACGAAGACCGCCTCATCGCGTGCTTCAGGGTCTGCTTTTGGTAGTGCAGGGCATGAGGGTAAAAAGAGAAAGACAACAGACCGAAAAAGTTTGGCACTTATAAAACCAGGTGGTATTGCAGGTTACATTGGTACCATATCCTCTTATCGATCGTTCATTGATGTTGTTGCAAAAACAGACGTTTATGTAGGATTCTTGCCGCGAACATCACTGGAAAGAATTGTTGAGAAGTATCCTGTCGTACTCCTGACTATGGCTAAACGTCTCACCAGTCTATTGCCCAGATTAATCCTGCACATAGACTTTGCTCTTGAATGGGTACAGGTGAGCGCCGGTCAAGTCATCTACCACCAAGGCGATGATAGTGATGCAATTTACATTGTCTTGAACGGCCGACTTCGACTTGTAGTCAATAATGACGAGGCTGGAATGAAAGTCATCGGCGAGTATGGACAAGGTGAGAGTGTTGGAGAACTAGAAGTCATGACGGAATCGGTCAGACCTGCTACACTGCATGCTATTCGAGATACTGAACTCGCTAAATTTCCCAAGACACTTTTCAACAGTCTAGCGCAAGAACACCCAGGTATCACGATCAAAATCTCCAAGATTATTGCATCTCGCATGCGAGCTTTAGTGGAAGAGCCTGTCTTCGTACAAACTAAAGAGAAAGTTACTGGTGCTACGAATGATAAAGTATCTTCGACTGTCAATCTTCGTACTGTTGCTATACTTCCCGTTACCGCTGGAGTACCTGTGGTCGAGTTTGGTAGTCGTTTAATGAATGCTTTGACTCAAATCGGAGCACCTAATGGTGTAACTTCTCTCAATCAAGCAGCTATTCTTAATCATCTTGGCAGGCATGCTTTCAGTCGTATGGGAAGACTTAAACTTTCACAATATCTTGCTGATCTGGAGGAGAAGTATGGCCTGGTTTTGTATATTGCTGGTAAGTAATTCCTTTCTGGGACACGTCAAAATGTGGCTCCCTAGGATCCTCGCTAATGTTAATTAATAGACACAAACGTGAATTCGCCTTGGACTCAAACTTGCATCAGTCAAGCTGATTGCATTCTCCTAGTGGGCATAGCAGATGGTTCACCAGCTATTGGAGAATACGAACGCTTCTTATTAGGAATGAAAACCACTGCGAGAAAGGAATTGGTATTATTGCATGCAGACCGCTTCTCATCACCTGGTGTGACTCGTGCATGGCTTAGAAATCGAGTCTGGATCAATGGCGGGCACCATCATGTGCAAATGGACTTCAGAACTAGTGCTGTCCCAGTACATCCTCAAACAAGAAAGTTCGGAACCGCATTGAAACAACGAGTACAAGTGATTCAGGCAGAAATTCAAAAATTCACATCCCGCCGTGTACGACAATCGCCACTTTACTCCGCAGAGACTCCATTCAAAGGCGACTTTCACCGGATCGCTAGACGTCTTTGCGGCAAATCTATTGGTCTGGTTCTCGGAGGAGGTGGTGCACGTGGTATATCTCAGGTTGGGATTATAAAAGCTATGGAAGAATCTGGAATTCCGATTGACATAATTGGAGGAACTTCTATTGGATCTTTCATTGGCGCATTATATGCTCGTGATGCAGATGTAGTTCCTATGTATGGACGCGCAAAGAAATTTTCAGGCCGCATGGCAAGCATGTGGCGCTTTGCACTGGATTTAACGTATCCATCTGCTTCCTATACTACTGGTCATGAATTCAACCGTGGTATCTTCAAGACGTTCGGCAATACTCAGATTGAAGATTTCTGGCTAGAGTTCTATTGCAACACTACCAATATCAGTAAAAGTCGATCTGAAATCCATACCAGTGGATATGCATGGAGATACGTAAGAGCATCTATGTCTCTTGCTGGACTTCTCCCACCACTGTGCGATGAAGGAAGTATGCTGTTAGATGGTGGATATGTAGATAACCTGACGGTTTCTCACATGAAGTCTCTAGGCGCTGATATCATCTTTGCTATTGATGTCGGCAGCCTTGATGACGATATACCACAGAACTTCGGTGACTCACTTTCTGGATTCTGGGCATTTGCAAATCGTTGGAACCCATTCTCATCATATCCGAATCCTCCCACTTTGGCTGAGATCCAAGCACGTTTGGCATATGTATCCAGTGTCGATGCTTTGGAAAGAGCGAAAACAACTCCAGGATGTCTTTACATGAGACCTCCAATTGACGAATATGGAACTCTGGACTTTGGTAAATTCGATGAAATTTATCAGGTTGGTTACAAATTCGGACATGAATATTTGGCAAAGATGAGAGAACAGGGTATTCTTCCTCTAGTGGATGAGACGGAAGAGAAAAAGGCATTGAGGAGAACTATGGCTCCGAGACGAGCAAGTATTTAGCGTGGACTATCCTTAGGATCTAGATGTTATAGGTTTTGCGCTCGAATATTACAGGGCGTTTTGGTGTAGATGAATTATGATGATGATGGTATACCCAAGCATATATTGATATAGGCGGTGGTCTTTTATCAGTTAGGCATTAAATTAATGGGAAATCTTATTCGATATGTGTACTGTATTCAAGTGTCCATATATTCTTTTGCTCTCAGCTGTGATTGTACGAATACTCTGGAAGTTACTAACTATCACTTGTTAAATTCACAAATCTATTGGCACAGCTCGATCAATCAATCGAACTTTTAAGGGTAAGATAAGATCTTACAATTTTGAAGACTCATTGGGATCTGGAGGGGTCGAATTCACCGGGACAACCCCACGTCAAATAAATGCCTGGGTCTTAATCAGGCACAAACACATGTGGAAAGTTCCGGCAAAAAAAGTTGAGTGCATCAAAAAACATTCATGATATTCAGATTAATGATTTGTATTTGCCTACCAACGCCGTAACAAAAACTCCCTCTTCTGCATATCTGGAGACCAGGAAGGCGATCAGCTTCGTAAATTGAGGAAGGGCCATGTCCCTGACCTCTCGTGTTGCCAACCTGTTTTCCTTTGGATCAGCAGGTTCGCCAGCAGAAGATCGCAAATTTGGGATTGTTGATAATGGAGTGGAAGAGGACGTCAATGTTAGAGTTGGAAACGGGCTACTCAGGTCGAAAAATATGGCACAGGAAGAGGCCGAAGAGGAGGGACGACCGCCATATTTACATGTGAGATTTGTAGATTTTGGTCTACAGGCAAGTTACTGATTGTTTGTAGGCCATGATTGCGGGAGGAATTGGCGGAACCACGGGGGATCTTCTTATGCACTCTTTGGATACGGTTAAAACTCGTCAACAGGGTGATCCTCATGTTCCGCCAAAGTATACCAAACTATCGTCCTCATATTCTACGATTTTGCGACAAGAAGGAATACGGAGAGGGCTATATGGAGGATGGGTTCCTGCTCTTCTTGGTTCTTTTCCTGGCACAATTATATTCTTTGGAACATATGAGTACAGCAAAAGGCATCTAATAGATAATGGCATTCCACCATGGTTTGCCTACCTATCCAGTGGTATGTACGAGAAATTTAGGGTTAATTACATCATTCTAATGATCCCAGGTTTTGTCGCCGACTTTGCAGCCTCGTTCGTATACGTACCTTCCGAAGTCCTTAAAACTCGTCTACAACTCCAAGGGCGATACAATAACCCATTTTTCAAGTCCGGTTACAATTACAAAAACACAGCACATGCTGCCCGAACAATAGTCAAGCAAGAAGGGTTCTCGGCTCTATTCTACGGTTACAGAGCAACAATCGTTCGAGACCTACCATTTTCGGCATTACAATTCGCATTTTACGAGCAAGGTCAAACATGGGCGAGAAAATGGAAGGAGAGCCGAGATATTGGATTGCCATTGGAACTCGTAACAGGAGCGGCAGCTGGTGGTTTGGCTGGAGTAATTACATGTCCTCTGGATGTTGTGAAAACAAGGATCCAAACTCAAGTCATTTCCGACCCAGAGTCTACTTCCAAGCAGGCCTCAAAATCTGCGAAAAATGCCTCCCATAAATCTACCCGTGCGAAGCCAACCTCTACAAAATCTACAAAACCTACAAAGCATCAGATTAGATCGATATCCACGTCATCCCCTTCCACGCATACCCCGCGTCCTGGTAGCATCATTCTCGATACCTCTTCCGTCCCCACCGGACTTAAACTTATCTATAAAACGGAAGGCATAGCAGGGTTGTTTCGGGGGGGTAGGACCGAGATTTGTGTGGACGAGTACACAAAGTAGTTGCATGTTGGTATTATACCAATACATCCTAAAGCGGCTGGAAAACTTCAACTTGCAGCGGGATCAGGAATCGATTGTATAATGGTAGGGACAGACGGGAACATAAGGGATCATAAATGATAGGGAAATGTAGGATTATGTACAGCAAAAATACTATGGTTGCATTGGGCGGCGTTTCTGGGAAGTCTTAAGATTAGACGAATAGATGATCTTTCACTTTTGTATAGGTACTGGCTCATGGAGATTGGTAAAACTGTGTTGTGAGCATGAAGGAAGTCACGTTAAACGGAATGGCTTTCTCGACTCGTACTA